GGGCGCGGAGCGGCTCCGCGATGGTAGCTGCTACTTCCAGCGCTCCCGGCTCATCTGGATGATCGCCATCGCCTTCGGCATGATCGTCCTCGGCGTAAGGAGCGGAGCGGGGGGGGGGGAGGGCTGCGGCTGCAAAACTCGAGGGCTGGATCGGGCCCGCCCTGGGTTTGCTGATTCCCCAGTAGCCGCGGCCCGCGGCGGGACGCCCGGATAGCTCGGGGCTTGTGGAACAGACTTCCTGAATAATCCCAATGTCCGTGGAAACGCCACTTGCTAAAGTAAACTGGGAGAAAGAGGAAACTAAAAATGCTGCTTTGCCAGGTCAGGTTGTGAGGTAGCTGAAGAAATCCATGAAGGAAATTCTGAAAAGAAACAACCTCGAATCAGGTTCCCATCTGAAGCAAGGCTGTGGCACTGAGGGTATACCGCGTCCCTGGCTGGGAGTGCAGCCACCCAAGCGCGGTAGTTTGTGGCACAGGTAGCCTGTGACACCGTCTTCTACATTCACAGTAGAAGTAGTAGAACCGTATTGGGTGTCAATAAAACTCACTCTGGGACAGCTGTCGGTTATATCAATAAGCAAGGTGCATTTACAAATGGTGGTTTAGTTACAGACTACATTAACTGATAATGTTGTTGGAAAAAAGTCTAGGTCAGTCACCATGCTGCCTGAATTTCTAAAAATGGACTTCGGCTACAGTAGGTCAGATTACTAGAGTGGGGAGACTAATGACAGTTTTGATACTGTACAAGTTTATTAATTCATCCATTGACTTCCACATGTTTTTCTTTTATTTGCATGGATTTTCTACACATAAAGAGTCACCACTGAATAAATGATGGTTAAAGCAAGCCAAACAGCTCACAAAACAGCTTTTGGACTGTTTCAAGAAACAGTTTAAATGCATAATCTTGCCACATCCGTGGCATAGTCAGATTTATATGTAGTTAGAAACTACAGCACTGGTACCAGAAAGATGATCCAGTGTGAGCATTTGGCCCAGCTTGGTGTTTACATCCCCAATGGATTCTGAAGTGCACAGCTCACTGACTATCTCCTCGTTAAAAGGTAGATGGTACAACTGCTAGTTGTGGACAACTCGGTGACAGGAAGGATACCCAAACATTACATGCACCTTGGGTCCTGAGCTTCAGCTCAATTATCTTCTGTGCTCTGTTCAAAATAACAAAATCTGACATTTTATTTTTTAACGGCAAAGGAAGAAAGATGGTCTGCTAGTTCTAGATAAGTAGTCATTTCTCCTTCTCAGTTTAGTTATTGTTTGAATTCTTCAGGTGAGTTGCATCTGACTAACTTCTTCAGTACAAAGACAATGTAGTTTTTGCTGCTACCATGTGTAAAGGTAATGAGCTTACAATTTAAATGCCACTTAATGTGCAGATGCATTCTTGGTACACAGATAGCAACCTTAAACTTAGCACTTTGGTATGTTGTATGTCAAGCAAAATAAATTTAATGTGTTTGAATCTTCTTAATAAGTGTGCTTTAGAAGGCTAGTGGTCTTGATGAGGAGTATGGGTCTTGGGCAAGTTTAATGGAATGGAAGAGCTGAAATACTATGAACTCATGAGCCCCAAACCACATTTGGCAGGGGGAGGAAAAAGAAAGCTAATTTGAAGGTTAAATTGATAGTCATTATATCCTGAAGTAAGCTAACTTCTCGTTTTGTTTTTTGTTGTGTGTTGTTTTTGTTTTGTTTTGTTTTGTTTTGTTTTTTAAAGTGGGTAACTCTTTGGCCTTCAACTATACCTTATAGCTATTTGGGAATATTTGGTACCTTCCTTAATTATTTAGTGGAAAACCACCACAAATGGGTTTGCTATGGGTAAGTTATATTTGACTTTATAATTATTTGCACCTCTCCTGTTGTCTCTCTTGGACTCTTCTGCTTAGTCTGTGTTAACAAGCTTTCCTGTAACACAGTTCTTAATTACATTTAAGAGCTCTCCTTTCAAGCTCATTACAACTAAGGGTGTGGGGTAATAAGTATGTAGAGGACTAGACAGGCTAAGACCAGTATGAAAGTTTAAAAATTCAACTTAGAATTTAGCATCTGTGTTGTTACAATGAGAAAGGGGAGAAGATACTACTTTTAGAGACTAGTTATTAGTCCATATGTAAGCTTATCAGTTGTTACTCGAGTAGTCTAATTCTCTCTGTTCCACACACCCTCCAAGATTCAATTGACATTTTCTATCCTGCCATTAATTTATCCTAATTCTGTCCATGTGACAAGTAACCTGCTGAAGAAACTGCATAGTGCTAAGTTTTGCTGGGTTACAAAACTTAGGTTTTGTTACTTTAACAAAAGAGCTGGAAAACACTTCCCTGTAACCAGTTCTCTCACTTGCTGACTTCCTGTAAAGTCAGGAAGATATCAAAACTTTGTTGTTTACCATGCATCATGTAGAAGATGAGCCTTCATCTTTGCTCAGAGCATCTCTTTCTTTAGCAAGGTATTGAGATTCTAACTGAATATCCTGTGTACTTTTTTTTTTAAAAAGCTTCTATATGAAAATTTGTAGACCAAGTTTGACTAATCAAGTCATATATTCTGAATCTATACACACAATTTTTGTAGAATTAAACCTATAAAAACTTCAGTAACACATTAGGACCAACTAAAAATATTTGTGTAAGTAAAAAGATAAACTTTGCATGCTTAAGTAAGATTAATTTATACTGCTTTCACTAAGTATTTGGTTTTTTGGCTTAATCTAAGTGCTGAAAGTTTTGGAAACATGCAGTGGGTACTTGAATTGGCAGGTCCAGGCATATTGCGTGAGTTAAAGTTCCTCTAATTTTCTCAGTGGACTTCAGTTTCTTTTAAGACTCAAATGTTACGTTTCTAAGATAAGAAACACTCCTCACTTTCTAGCTTAAAGTGAGGTGCCACATCTGTGCTTCTGGTTTTACATTCTCTGCATAATGCATCTTGGATACAACAAGTCTACTCCCTAATTTTAAACAAAATAAAACATGTTTTCTTTTTATTAGGTTCTGGGTATCCTGGTTGATTCACATAGTAGAAGCCTTCTACGGTGTTAAGTTATGCCAGTAAGTTGCCTTCCACTCACCCCAACATAGATTCTCTGAAAAGTTGTTTCTGATACAGGTGACATAAGCTACAGGACTCATTTTGGTGGTTCTTAGCAGCGATATTAGTTCAGAGGATACTGATAAAATTCTTGTTGCAGTGATAGTTTACTATCCTCCACAAGAGGTTACTGCAGATTCTGCTAGTAGTTACTGTTGTACAGGGTGACAAAAACAAGTGATTGCAACTTGCAGAACTGGCAGCAGCAAGGTTTGACAGAGCTTGTCTGTCTGCCTCCGAACTCATTATTCACTGAGTAACATTGCACTTATACAAAGCAGAGGGAACAATAGGTAGTGTAGAAACAGTCTGGTAACTTCAGGTGTTATAACTTCATCAGATTTTACCTCATCCGAATTTTGAAATTGCTAATTACCTGCTTAAATTATTGCATCTATATTGTAAGAATACAATTGGACACTTCCATTTGGGACTGTTTAAGATCTACTTGTATCTGCTGGTTTGTGGGATAAAGCACTTAGTCAGCCTTAGTCAGAAAGGCATGCTGTCCAAACACAACACCCTTCTGTTCATTTGAATTTTGTTTGTAATAATTCGGAAGAATGTAGATATTGATATTAATGCTCTACAGATTAGATGGCCAATCTGTTTGCCACTGTTAGAATGGTGGGTTTCCACTTCATTTAGTTCAGTTCAGAGCTGTCTGTCGCAGGCTTCTCAGGTAACATGTCTTAGAGGCAAAGGGATTTTCTTCCATGGAAAGCTATTTAAGGTGGTTCTGGAGATAACGGAATATGGATGAACAATTTCTTGCCTTCAGAATGGAAGTCAGTAATTTTTTACTGGGCTCCAGTTTTAAATTATAGCTTTCAGGTTAAAACTTTAAACACTGATTCTGCAGATAGATAGGTATATAGGCTTAAAGTGATTTTTAAGTGAGACTGAACTTGACCACCAGTGATTGTACTAAATGGGTGTATTGTAGTCGTTAGAGTAGCGTTAAAGCCCATAAGAAAGAGAGAGCATAGATTGCCTGCCCATTGTCATCTCTTCAGGTATATTTATGTAGATTACTAAACAGTTGTACTTTACTATGAACACCAAACACCATATACTTTTTAGTGACATAAGTGATGTCTACTTACTAGCATCACAAAAGAAGCATGAGGAAGAACTAGCAAGGAAGCAGATACACATTTGTTAATCCACAGTAGTACTGTCATTGGCTGTTGGCCTATATTTCTGCATATGGTCTATTCAAGTAAGCTTGCTTTATATAAGTAAGTAAATTTAAGCCCTGCTTTTCCAGTTTTTGGACTCATTTGGAAACACTGCAGCTGAAAATCTAAAGCAAAGATTTTCATGGTAGAACAGTTTAAGAATAAACATCAAGGAATGAGTTTATCAACACTTGCTGCACAATCATTTTGTACTTGTAGAGGTAATTAACAGCTGAACTGTTCTAGCAAAGGTCAGTAGAGGGAGCTCCCTTGTAAACTAACGTGTTGAAGCACATCGGATACAATTGTTTACTGGAAATGTGTAATCCGTTGGTTTGCTATCATGTTTATACCCATTCGACTGAATTTTCAAAGAAAAGTATTTCTCAATAACAGTGAAGTGGAGGAAAAGGTGACACTCTGTAACATACAGAAAAATTTATTTATGCTAAGTTAGAGCTAACTGACATAGGAAGGTCTCTGTTTCATAAATCACATCAGGTGTCTTCAGCCCCCTGTACCCATATTTTTCTAGCTACAAATTCAAGTAACAGTGCTTCTTCATCCTGCATTGCACAATAATTGTCAGGCCTCTTTGCTCTGCTAGCATACAGTCTACCTTCAGTGCCTGTAATCTACAAGAAGTTATACACAGACTTGTCTATTAAGATTAGTATTAAGCTACTCTCATTTCTTGGTTATTTGTACATAAACTTCTAGGATAAGTTATTTTAAATAGCATAGACTGAGATTGCAATTTATATGTTGAGGAAATTGTATGCATGAAAGTTTTGAAAGAACCTTTGTTCTGTAGATAGCTTAAAATCCACTAACATCACAAGAACTGGTACATTTAGTTAGTACAGAAAGTCTCAGATTGAAATTAATGATGCTAAGTTCAAATGTTCTAATCAAATCTGATGTATCAAGGATGGGTAGAAATACCTAACCTTACTTTGCAAGTATCACAGTATAGTCTGCGAGACCATAAGGTTTTTGACACATCTTATGCTTCTGTTAATGTTACAGATCTAAAGGAATCACTGACCCAGCAATTCAGTTTCACTGGTTCATTCAGACGCTTTTATTTGGATATGCTTCCTTTGGTCTTCTGGTGTCTTACAAACCTTCAGCCAAGAAGCACTACTAGAAGTCAGTGAAAGAAGTCGCTTCTCACATTCCTCATCCTCATTTTTCAGAAGATCCTCACAAGTCTTGGTGTTGTCATTAGCTAAATTACATTCCTGCTACATGATGCAGTGCCCTTCTACCCAAGTAACTCTCATCTCACTAAATAAGATAGTTACAATTCACAGGACCCTGTGGATAGTTCGATAGAAGTTCAGCCGTTCAGTCCTGGCATTGGCAAAGTTTAATCCCATTTGTTATGCAAGAAGCCAGAAGTTGCTTCTCTGCAGTTTTTGACATAGACTATATACTCTGATTCTCATTGAAAAGACCCTGACAGCTGGTAGTAATGATTGATACTTTTTCATGTGGAGGAATTTTCTTCTACAACTGGGAGTGTTATTTATAGCCACAATGCAGCATGTACCTGTTTTGGTATAGGATTTAAATTTACCTGTATTTTCTCTACAGGATATTTTACTGGCTGCTTAGCTGTTGTTAGAGCCTGGTCTTTGTACTTTGTTTTGTAAACTTATTTTCTTCCACAAAGGACAGACCACTGTTGCTGCAGGCACAGTGAAAAGACCAAGTCTCAGTTCAGGATGAGGTGCAGTGATGAACTGGGATACATAAAGCACTTTAATAAATGTGCCTTAAATTTCATGCAGCATGACCTCATCTTTTGAATGAAGATTTTAATCTTTGAGTTAGTATAGCATAAAGTAGTAATCCTGTAGGCTTGAGGGCAGCTTTTTCAAAAAGTAATTATTAAGAAAAAAAATCAACTAGTATTCCAAAACCTAGCTTTAAATTTATATTTATGAATTAAATTAGATACAGTGTGTAAACATACGCCACTGTTTCCCAAATGCTGATGTCCTGAAATCTGTGGTTGAGAGACCATCTTAAGTACCTTTTATTGTATTGTCTAATACTTTTGACTGAAGAAGAACTTAGTCTGTCTTATTACTTCTTAAAGCACTAAAATACTTAAAATACTAGCTGTGGTGTGGTGAGAAGTTTTACTGTGTTATCTGTGGTGCTACTGTTAGAGAAGAAAGGACAAGAAAAGGTGGTTCTTCCTCTAAGGAAGGGTTCCAGGAGGCAGTAACAAATAAACATGCCTTGTGCAGTACCTGTAGACTGTAACATTTCTGATGGAGAAGTCTTACTCAAGCACAGGTACATAAAGTTTTTGCTTTTCAGTGGGTACTAAGATCATGGAGAACTGAAGGGTTTGAAGTGGTGATTTGGTTTGGATTTTTTCTTTGTGGGTTGTTTTTTTTTTTTTAATGGCAAACTTATAACATTTTGTAGAGAAGTAGAAGCTTGTATTTAGTGGCTAGAAATCCAACATAAATGTCAAGTGCCCAAGTTTTACTGTGTAACCTTTTATCTTAGTCTGTGACCCTGGAATAAAAATCTTTTAAAAAGTGAAGTTGTTTTTCTTTTTAATTTATCCTGGACATAAATGCCTATACAAAATATATAGGTACCATCTTTACACCAGTATCAAACATTCGGAACAGAAGATTCAGCTGGCTGTATGCTTTCTGGAGTAAGTCCCACAGAAGTCTGGTATTCCTAACAGGGCAATGTATTCATATGACTTGTTTCTACAAAAAAAGAGTCATTCTCCGTGGCACTAAAACATGTAGAGGTATAATACTTTGTGTTTCAAGATGAATTCTAATTGAACGCTTAATGAGCATTAATGTAAGAATGTGAAGGGATAAAAATAATAACTGGTTGAACATTTTCATGATGGTGTTCTTGTACAGAGGAAAAGGAGTAACAGTAATGCCAAGGGTAGTTAAAAACTTAGGAAAGGTAGTAAAAGACTTTTTTTCTTCTTAATAGGTATTTTTGTCTGTTCTTGTTTCCTACTGTTCACTTCCCATCAGTAAAGCTGTAAATAAGGTCAGAGCTACTACACAAGCTTCCCCTCCCACTGCCAGTCTGCACACCAGGCACTTGTGACACTCACCATCATGGCTTCCACAGTCCTTCCTGAGGGCTCTGCAGTGGCTGTAGGTAAAGCACAGCTCTGAGAAGTGACCTGCTTACTTACAGACTCAAGGAGTAGGGCTTCCTTTTAGAGGAGCAATGGTAAAAGCTTCCTCAGTGCAGCCCAAGGGAGATGAGAAAAAAAAGGTCAATTTATAACTGACTTAGTTAAAAATTATTTCCAGGTCAGAACAAGTTTTAGCCAGACACTGGCATTGGCAGGGTTTTGTTTTGAAACTTCTTTGGAGTTTTTTTAGGGTTTTTTTTGTTTGTTTTGTTTTTGTGGGTTGTTTTGTTTGTTTGTTTGTTTGTTTGTTTTTTTTTTTAACTTGACAGATCTCAGCAGCTTTCTGTTTGGAGGTTGTTGGGCATTGCCTATCAAACATTTTAGAAATGCAACTACATTGCATTCGGCTACCTTCAGACACTTTGAAACATTGCCTTACTTGGCAGCAGTTCAATTTTACTGCTTGTTAAAAAAAAAAGTATTTACTCTTAGCCTCTCTAAGCTGCTGTAAGCAGCATGGATGCCTGTTTTCTAATGTTTTTGAAGCCCATGAGATCCCCAACTCAAAATCTGAGAAGCCTGGGATAAGAAATGCGGACTAGCTTTTAATGTAAAATAGCCTTGATGAAAAGAAACCAACCCACAGAACGATGAGATTCAAAATAATACTGAGATGCTGTTTCTGAATATTTGTTTGTAGTGTCCCTAATATTGCAACAAGATAAACATATCATGATACAAGTTAAGCCTTCAGAAGCTGAATGCAGGACAGCACCCCACTAAACCCATAGAGACATACATTCATGGCTAGTAACAGGCTCTTTGGAAACAGCACTGGTTTTACCAGGCATAAGTATTTCTGCAGGCTATCCAAATGGTGACAATAAAGGATTACTCTTAATCGCGTAAAGTAATTCTTTCCACTGCAAAATACTCTTTCCAAAACAAAAGGAGAAGGCAACAGAAATGTACCCTTATGTTCTTATAGCAGCTTACAGGCTAGGCTGAGTGTCAAACCATCTCCCACGTCAGCACTCAACCCACCATGCCTGCCAAAAGAAAACACTTGCAAATGTTAGTACTTCACTGTAGAAGAATGTTTCAAAATAATACTTCCCACCAAAAGGAAAACCAAACAAAACAGAAGCAGTTTTGCTATTAAAGAATACCACTAAATAGGAAGGTAAATCACCAAGAAAGCTAAGCTGACATTGGGAAAGGTTTTCCAGGATGGATATTTCTGCCAACTAGTCTTTTCGGCTGTACTGAAGAGAAATAAATGCCATTTAGCCATCCATTTCAGATTGAAAACATAAAGACCCCACTTTGCTATGAAAGCCTATGTGCAACACTGGGTATGCTTTATACTAGTAATGTAAAGTAGGTGCCAAGAAAATTTAAAACAGCGTCTGTTTTTTCTAGGCACATACAAAAATAAAGCATTATTTATTTGACCTGCATTGGTGTTCAAAAGAAATAATTGCATAAAAGTCACAAATAACCACATTACTTACAACAGTGGTTTTATGCTGTGATTGCTTGGTAGCTTTGTTGCAGGAGAAAACACAAACTACCAAGATCCATTTTCACCTTTAAATCATAATATATGGAAATGAATGTAATGTACTTCTTGAAGTAAGGTGAGCAATCCAGATCAGCATGTTTGGCAAATCACTGCTTAAATCAAGCTCTGTCACTGAGAAGCTGGGTCAGAAAATGCAGCATAAGCTCAGAAACTTTGCTGGGTCTGAACAGGGGCAATGAGATGTCTCCCATCCATTTCCAAGAACTATTTCTAAAGCCTTAAGGGCTGTAGCTCATTTTTGCAGTGAGTGATGAAAAACCTCTCTCAGAATCACAGTATGTTGTTTTCTTTTACATCTCATTCACTCTGATCTAGATTTTTCTAAACAGAACAGGAGTCAGCTGGGCCAGTCTTTGGAAATACCTAAGTGTTGGTTCATTAAGGACATTTAATTTGCCCTCGAGCTGGGCAGCTGGTTTCCCAAATGGCAATAGAGCCCAGTTAAAGCTGGAGGAATGGCCTCCTTGACCATGGTTATAGAATCTGCAGTTAAGTTTGACCACTATAGGCAAGGTCTTTGAAGTCCTACAGTCTGCTGCTTGTGAGCATTCTGGCACAATCTCTGGGGTGGGGGGACAAAAATTGCAGATCTACAGAAATACAGCAGATTTTAGAGGAATGTGTTATGGAAAGCAACTTTTAGCTCATTGATTTTAAGGCTTCCAGGCAAATGACTTCTGCAAAGAAAAGAAGTAACTAAATGTAAAAGGAGTAAGCTTTAGAAATCTTTTTTTCTCTTAGGATATTATTAATAGCAGGAACATTAATAAATAGATATTGTTTTATACAGCACAGGTGCTCTAGGAACCATACTAACATTTCAGTGCAGTATTCACAGGTGCTCTAGGAACAATACTGAAAACAAGTAACCACGATGATCGAAGACTGCATCAGTGAGCAGCAATGTCAGAAGAAGAACTGGAGCGGGACGAGAAGAACTAGTCTGAGCTGTGGAATATAATGGCCTTTTGAAATTGATGATGAATTAGTGTTGTATTGCATATTATGAAGAATCATATAAGACCCTTTTTGTCAGCTGTTGTCACTCACTGAGGTGATGGCCCAACTCTGAGTTGTTAATAAAGCGAGCCTAGAGATACACACACTCTGGTAAAATCCTTTAATACTAAATGCAATTATGTTTCCATGAATGATATAATCTGAATTATATGTTCCTTTTTTATTTATTCATCATGTTTGATTAAAGAGAGGAGAACATCAATTCATATTTTTTCATTACAGTACTGCTGTATGTAAGCCCTTGTTAATGAGGCCATCAGTCTCACTTCACTATTTACAAGGCTACGCAGTTTAAAAAATCCTTTGCTTTTTTGCTTGTTAATTACAAGCTTGTACATTTTTATTCCCTTGCCTCCCAGCAGGCGATTTCCACATACAAAATAAAGAGATTTTTCTACAGGGTTTTTTTAATAACTCCACTCATCTGAGGACTTAATGAAAACTTTTGGCATATGGCCAACAGCCTACACATTCAGTTTATCTTGTCAGCAACATGTTGATTCAGACTGGTGCACATATGCAAGGCCTGCATCAACAGCTCACGACATTGTCATGGTTTGGTGAAAGCAAAATAAACAAAAAGCCCCTCAGCATTTCCTTTACTATTGCTCTTCAGAGGAGAGGCAGTAGCATGGCACAATCTATATGCTGTACTGGACCTTAGGAGGCCCCTGCAACTCCAAACATAACTAGTGCACACACACAGAGCTGGGAAGAAGAGAAATATAAGAAACACTCTTGTACCATTTATCAGCATTCTTCAAGACTGTTCTCTTAAACCAAAACCTCATAGGTGCCCCAAGGGAACAGACAGGGAGACAAATTTACCAGGTTTAGAAACCCCACAAATTAAAATCTCCTCCTAAAGACACTAGACTTCTTATCAAAAGAAAAACTGCCTGCAAACAACACCTTTTTGCACAATTTTCAGAAGCATAAAAAATTAAAAAGTAATTAAAATTTAAAAAACCCAAAAAGAGTGAATAAGATTACCTAACAGCACAGCTGAAACCCCTCACCAACATACCCTTCCCCTAGGGCCAGGCCAAGCCCCTCATATCCTTTCTGTGATGCACTCAGGTGGGGTTAATCTGGCTCTGCCCCTTATGGACTTGCTCAACTCTTCCTTTCTTCAGTGACATGGGCTGTATGTGTTTAGGGACCTTGTTGTTACGTATCATTATTATTGAATTAATTTAAAATATCCATATTTTATTAGAGTGTTTTCTAGCCACAGCCACCAATTTTTGCTGCAGCTTTATTTTATATAAATAATGTGCTTTTGAACAATGGGAAATACATCAGCTCAGGATGGCACAACATTCAGCAGGATTCCCCCTCTATTGGGATGTAGCAAAAAGTTGGGAGCCCAGGAAAGCACAGGTTTGTAATAGAAAGAAACTCTGCAAACTTCAGTATCCTGTATGTGGCAGACTGCTTACAGTTAAAGAAACAGCAAAGAAGGTAACAGGAGAACCGAGGCCATCAAATAAATGACTGGCAGGATTTACAGCCCAACCCTGAAGTCAAGACCGATCACTAAACCACATGCCTAGGTCTGGATCTAGCAGAAGTTTGATTTGCATGTCAAATGCACCTACTGCATTTTAGGATGGGAAAGGAGGAACACATATTTCTACATCTTCCAAAAGCAGTAGGCTAGATAGCAAGGTGCCACTTGTGAGGACAGGCCACCTGTAAGGGAGATGAACTTTTCCTGATGTTATGTAAACATGTACTGTCAACGTTTTAGATATTAATCCAGAGTTAACAGGACCTGGATGAAGAAATTAAGGAATCAATATAGGAAGAGATTTTGTTTCAGTTAAAGATACACTTTGTTTTCTTCAGTCCTTGGAAGAAGTTGTGCTGTTGCCCTGCCAAACCTTGTATTCACAGGTCTGCTCTCCTGAGTAGTTTAGTTCTAGTGAAATTATCTGGGTCAAAGCATCCTCTTCCACTGGAGACACAAACATGCATTTTAGCTGGTGGAGTCTGCTGCACCCTGAAATCAAAGGATTGGTTACCAAAGTTCACATTATTTGTGATGAGTATCTCTGAGACTGGATTCACCAGGTATCGTGGACTTAATTCACCCACACAAGCCCAGTCCAGGATACTTCTGCACCCAGAATCTACACATTGCCCAGGAACACAGCCAGGTACAAGCAAGATGGCATTTGCACCTGGCCCAGTACCCAAAACAGAACGTTTTTCCAAGCCAGTAAAGAGAGATACTCATTCAGCCATGCTGTGGAGCAGCCTGGCAGCCTCCCATCCCACTCCACAGGGCAAGAGCAGCAGTCCTGCCCAGCTGTGCTCACCTCCATGGCAGCCCAGAGCTTGATGTGCATGAATGACATGGATTTTGTGTCAATGTCAATGACGGAGAAAGGAAAAGAAAGAAATTCTGAATTTTTAACGCAAGGCTGCTATCAGTACCATATGGGAGAATAACAAATCTTTCATTGCTGAGGTGGCATAGCATAATTTTAATTATTTTTCAGATAAATACAATGCTTAGATTTACATTTTGCTAATTTAACAATCTGTGAAGTTTTACATATTCATTAAAGTTACTTTTTTTCAAGATACATAAGAACACTTTACATAAAAATACTTTTTTTAAATGAAACATTTAAAAACATATTTTTAGATATTTGAAATGCCATAGTCCTATTATATTTCATAATTAAAATAAGGTTAGCAGAACAGATATTTTGGTATTCTTTCCAATTGCATACCTTCATTTAAAGATTTTTTTTTCTTCTTTGAAGTATTTTATCTTAGTTTTAAAGCCAATGGACTCATATAAAAGCAATATAGAATGGAAATAAACTCTGCTATCATTATATTCACATGTAAAGTGTTTACTACTGAAGAGCAATGTACAGTTTATACAATGAAAATAAAACCAAATTGCAGATAGCATGTTTGACATTTTAAGTAACTTCTAGACATCACTTACCTTTTTTTTCTTTTTTTTTCCTTTTTCCCCCCAAATATTCTCAAAATCATACAGTGATTCTGAGTGCACTGATTTTCAGTTGCTCTATCTGCTTGCCCCAGTTTTGTGAAGACTCGCTAAATGCAGTTCCCACTGATTAAAAAAGAAGTCGTTAATACTCTGAGCTTCTAAAAAAATTAATTCCAGGATACTGCAGGACGATAAACCAAGGTCTCAGACTGCAGAAGCTGTTGGCCACTACCGAGAACATTGGTTATAAAATCCCATTTTCTTTTAACATAGATATCTGACACATCCTCAAAATTTCCTGAGAGTTTTGCCAAAAGAGATGAGGATAATTAGATCCTCATTTATAGTGGGTTTACATCCCCAGATCTGCTCTCTGATGATGTGATTCATTGCTTGTTTCAATAGAAATAGCACGTACACAGTATGTAGTCTGTCATGACTTATTTCTATATAGATTTCTTAAACTCTTCTGACTGTGAAGAAAGGAATTGTGTCTGATAGGCTGTGATTTACAGGACATGTTCTGGAGACCAAGCCCTATATCCATCTGGGTGGCAAGAAGGGAAAGAAACTAACCATTGGGGCATCAATAATTTTTAGTTCCATGTGCAAACATGATCCTTCCAAAAGCAGACCAAACCAGAGAACTTCTATTACATGTTCAGCATTTGTGAGAGTCTCCTCTCTACTCCTACTCCTTCATGAGCAACAATAAGAAGGAACAGAGTATTTCCCAGAAAAAAAATACTGCAGAGACAGCCAGAATTCTGCCCTCTTCACCCCACTCTGCAGGCACAAGTTATAGATATAGCTAGATATCCATAACTAGTAGATACAATACAGTTGAAATCTGTGTAAATTTGGATATGCGGTTCATTCTTTTTAGTCCATAGGGACCCTCTGTTTAGGTTGCTCTTCCTAGCCTACAGATGGCTGAGAGTTAAGAGAGGGCAGAGAAAGCTTTCACCTACCCCAAGGGCATCTCCTCTTCCACATGTGACTTTTTGATTGTGCTTTAGAGACAAAAGTTTCCCACTGTAGAACCAAGAAAGGAAACATACTAGCAAGCCCATTCCTAACTGCAGGGGAGTACTAAAGATGGAAGCTCAAATTATAAATTGTAATATGACATAAAAGCAGCATCACTATGGGCTTGCAGAACCTTTCTCCCCAAAAAGCTATAATAAAAGTTGGTTTTCATGAACACCTAGCAACAGCTCACCCAGCCCTGCACATGGGAACTGGAATGATTTGATCCCACACAGTCCCATGAGTGGACATGCTCACCCTGACCTTGCTGGATTTTCAGCTGTGCTCTGCTAGGGCACTGCTAAATACATCATATTTATTTCATATACTTAATTATCAGCTTGACATGCAAGAGGCAGGATTAAGACCTCTCATTAAAATACCTACGCCCAAAATTTGGGTCAATCCTGGTTAAATTTAACTAATTAGAATTGTATAGATTGGTTCTGTTGCAGTTGGCCTTAAACTGATTTTTGCCCAAGTGGAAAGGCAACCGTTGTACACATGCTCAGAAGTGGGCCTGAATTTCTCTTACATTTCTTGCCATCCCACTCCGTTACCTTATCAGTTGGTCTCTGCCTGTAGTGATGAAAATGGTATTTAGGTCAATGTGTTCTTTGTTAATAGCATTAGCCATATGCCTAAGACTTAGACTTCCTCTTCTCCTGTTACTGCCTTTGGCTAGTAACATGTGGTCTTTAAATATATTTCACTCTTAACAGTGTACTTAATCCATCAGGTAAGATGGAGAGAGTCTGTTTTAGGCTGACTAAGATGATCAGTGGAATGTTAATTACAAAATTCCTATGGGTCAAGAGACTCCTTTTTATAAAGAAACACAAGCCATTTTATATGTTACTTTTTATACTGAGTCCCCAAAAGCAGGGGGAAGAACTACATTTGTGTTCTGCATGGGAGATCTAATTATATACAGAATAAGTTTGGGGTTTTTTTATTGCTGCAACAGTTTTGGAAACTTTACTTTAGAAATACAGTATTGCTTTTTATCTTCCAAGGGTTTTTTGGTTTTGTTTAAAACACATTTTATTAGCATAATTTTTCCTCATGTGACAGCAAAGATCAGAACAGAAGTGTGTTCAAACCCGCACCCACACACATGTATATATCTTCTGAAGCAGATTCAGCAAATGGAAAACTGGTTTTGGCTTGGAAATGAAGAATTACTATACTAGTAGCATGGCAAAGTCCAGCAGAAGAAGCTGCATTAGTTTAACTAGGGGCATCAAAATCAAAAGACCTTTGATAGGACTATTTTCAGATGTAAAGAAAAATACCTTCTCATTCTTTATTTATTGAATGCCATTGGATCCTACATACTAGCCAAAATCCAGACAGTCAACTGATAATGAATTACAGAATTCCAACATGGCCAGAGACTAGAAGTTTCCCTTAGCTAAGCTAAAGTTTTGAGTTTAACTTCATCCCAAGGACATTATGAGCAGGAAATAAATATCCTGAAACTATTTGCTAACTGTTCAAGCTTTGAAAGATATTTGTTCTGAATGCCTCAAGATTATGGCTCTGTAAAATACTTGTCAGAGGACCTCAGCCTTGTCCCTTGTGCTGTGCCCATCACCGCTCCGTCCAGGCAGCTGTGGGGTAGCGTTCCAGGAGTGTGTTCCTCAGCTGGGCTGTATGGATCTTGTCTCTGGTCTCCACGGTGCAGGTGACCTGAGAGAAGAATTAGGAACATTCCTGATGGCATGGCAGCAATCTCAGACAAAGGCATTTCCAACAAAATCCTAAAATACGCTTGTAAAAGCAAAATGATCGGTTCAATGTAAAAACCCTGGGCCTCACATCCCATGTCTATGCAGCTAAGAAAACTGACATTGCAGACATCTGGGACTCTTCCAGCCTTTCTGCACAGTATTATAACCTCCCAGCAGCCCCACTTTTTATTGTCTTCAATGTTTGAAGAAGCTAGACTGATCCTCTGATGGCTCCTGGGCAAGTACTGTTGGCCTCCCTGAAGTCATCCATTAGCAGCTTCTCTTTTCCCTTCCCTGGGGTATGTGGTGCTGCTGGCCACCTCACCTATCTCTGACTCTTACCTCACCCCATTACCCATGTTTCAAGCTTTTTATATTCTCTTCCTCCTCTCTCTCATGGAGTTATCCCCCAATCCTTTATCATCTCAGCAGTATTCTGTCTGGTTTCATCTACTCACCCACCTTGTTTTACTCAGATTTTTTGTTTGCTCATTGATTCACTTCTAGTTTTCTGTGATGGTTGTTCTGATGCTAAATCAAACTAAACCCAGGCAAAACCCTAAATTTTGATAGTTTTTATTCTTCACTTTCCTTGACAAGTATTATTGAAAATCCTGTCATGCAGCCACTGAAGACAATAACTTCAAGGTCATTTTAAAAACTCTTCTTTAACCCCTCTTTTCTACATACTCACATCTCTACTGCATCATTTTAAAATCTGGGCAGTATTAAAGGTGAGGAACAAATGTGAAGATGCAGAAGGAAAATTAAAATTATACTTCATAATTTTAGACTACTAACTTCTGTCACCACTGACCCTGCTGGAATTATCACTGATGCTGAAAGTGCCACATGGAAAAAAGACCTCACAGAAACAGGGAAATCTAGTGAGGAAAGGATGCAAGATGAGTCACAGTGCAACAGAGAGTTTATTTTAACAAGCAAATCTACAGAGAATAAAGGAAAAACTGGTCATGGTAACCTTAAGGTGGACTATTAGACACAGATGCCCTGTATGTTCCTATCAGAGCTGCATCCTTTACAGAAAGCAACAAGACAAAAATTAAAATTGTCTCTACTCAAATATGTTTATGACGACATTTCAAAATAAGAACTTTGTGAATTCATGTTTCCAGGAATGAGCTTAAAATAACAATAAACCTCTAGCAAAATTAAAGGTAAAACACTAACTCCAGGCTTGGCTATAGCTTTTTAAATATCCATCATGAAATAAGCCACATTTTTGTTCCGTTTCCGTAATTCATCTTTTATCCTAAACATAGTTCTATTCTTGTTTGGTTCTTTGGAACACAAATTAGATGCTAATTTCTTGCGCCTCTGAAAAGGTGGGATTTAATCTCAAGAGGACAGTCACAGAAGACAATAATGAGGGAAGAGGAGAGAACACAAAGATTGGGAAAAGTATCTTAAGGATAGCTAGGCACCAAAGTACCAAATACCTATTATCCGTTCCCTGGTTCATGTAAAAATTCCTAAAGCTTTTCAGTCATTTTTTCAAGAGCACATATTCATCTCTCACAGAGTCTGTAATTAAAAAAGGCAACCTTTTTCCCTTTCCACAGCAATCATGCCTGTTTTGTCCTGAGCAAATCAATTGCTGCACTTGAAACCAGTCTGGACTTGCCAAGTTCAGCTTTGAATATTTGGCAGCAAGCAGTTGCTCTGCCCTGGAACAAGAATGGGAAAGCATTTTGATTTACAGAGCTAACCATCCTCCTCTCTGCCCTTTTCTTTTTTGTTAATGATTGAAGCCAGACAGACTTGGATAGATTGGAGCCAGAGAGCTTGTAAACAGCTTGTATAGACAATGTCTTTTTTTTCTGTACACACACAGCATCTGACATGTGATATGGCCTTTAATATGCTGTAGTGTATTATAAAAGTAATAACAGCAGCAGCAGAAATAATAAACAACTCCAGAAATTCACGTGATTTTTCACACTTGTCAAATAAAGAGAGAATATTTGCACACAGCAGGAGTGAACAGAGAATCACACTATACCTTAGAGCAGCTACAGATCTAAAAAGCAAGGAAGACAAGAATTTGCTTTCTTGCTCAGATTAAACCAATTTACACTGCAGTTTTACCTTCATTTGTTTCACCTGACAAGTATGAATTACATGAGTGTCCAACAGGGCAATGCTCATGTTCATGGGGAAGTATATAAGGATTATATTTATCTAGGATGAACAGTCACCCAGGTACTACTAGCTACTGGAGGTTGCATACCTACTGGTGAACTAAGAGTAAGCACTACAAATAGGTCTTATTTAAGAATAATCAAACTTACCACCTGATGCTTCTTATATTCCAGACAAGATAACCCACAACTAGAGAAAACTTTAAATTCATTTCAAACCCAGAAACCCCCAGTACTAGACATAGACTTTTGCTCCAGCAGAGCTCTCACTGACTGCAGGACCATGTTTGCATAGTAGACCTTTCTTTTCTGTGTATTAAAAAAATCCAGAAAAAACAACAACAAAAAATGAGTACATTTTATGCATTTCTCTCCTGCATATTACATTCTTGTTGGATTAAAAAATAATAATAATTTTTAAATTATATGGTCTTGTAAGATCGTTAAAATATCCATGCAGATGGATCTTTTACTGCGTTTAGAGTTCTGCTCTGTGTGAGAGGTAATGTAAAGATTGATTCCAGCCTAAGGGTTTAGTTAGCCTGTTGGGGTTTTTTTATAGCAGGCCTACAGGAAATGGAAGACAGAACAGCCTTCACTGAATATCGATGTCTCATGGATTTTATTTAATAACTAGAAATAATTTGAGGGAGCAGGACAAAGGCTGAAAAAAAGATAAAGAAAAAAATTGATCATGTTATCACTCTGTGCAACACCAAAATACAGATGCATAAATTAAAATATTCATACGAATTAATTTCACTTCAAAGAGAGGAACGTTGATAACTTCACAGAAGCAGTAAATTTGCAAAGTTCTGTGCTGAGTAATTTGGGCAACAGGGTGGGTACCTCTGTTCCCCTTTAACTGCAAGTCTCATATGTGGGCACTTTGCCTCTTAAATCATATTTTCCTAGATATTAAAAATTAATTCAGCATGCCCCTCACCTTCCTGCTGCCTGGTATCTGTAGGCTGTATGTGCAAATAAAGATATTGAGTGAACATGCCAACCCAGTGCTATAGAGCAGAGGAAATGTGAGTAGCATTGCTCAACCAAAACATTTCAGTCTTTTGTGCTTTTCCAGGCTCCATGTAAAGACAGGCTGTGCAAGCCCTTATGTCCCTGACTCATCCATTGAACCTTTGTACCCAACTTGAATCCTAGAAACCATATTCATCATCTTCTTTTAAACTGTTTACCTTGGAGGATTCACATAACTTAATATTCATGATATACCATGCTCAGCAACACTATAGGTTTGTTTCCACAAAAATCACTGAAGTTAGAAATTAAAACTTTATTTATATACACTGGTTTCAGTTCTGTAAATAAAGCAAGGCTCTTTTTTTCTATTTAAAAAAACAATCATCAACTGTGCAATTTTCTGAATTATTCAGTAAACACCCAGTGTAGGTTACTGCACAATACAGATTATTTGGCAACAGCACTTCAGTTTATGGTTTGGGGATCAGCTGCAAGATAATCCCCAAGGTTGGTATTGCAATGCTTGTGAAAGAGCATAACAGCTACCACAGCTGTCACTTGGTTGTGCAACCTGACCCCTTATCTTTTTGCATACTCCTGCATTCAGGTTGGTGAGCATGAGCACAAACTAGTTACTGTCACATTACCTAAATCAGATAATAATTCAACAGGTTTACTCTTATCCTCCTCAGACTCAGGTTCCTATTTTGACAACTGGGGCAGGCTCTTGTGTACCATGTTAGTCTGCTGTGGAATGCCATTAAAGAAAATGACCAAATTCTTTTGGAGAGTCTCAGAAGAAATGTATTGTCAAACTTCCCACTCCAAGCATCTTCATTTTACAGATAGGGAACTGGAGCATGGAAACAGTGCCTTGCCCAGGTCACACAGGAAATGCTCTAGGAATGATAGCATCCTTCTTGTAGCTGGACAGCTGTGTGCTCCTCTGTATTCTCTTCACGGGACAGCAATATGGAATATGTTGGAAACAGGGAACTCTAATCCAAAATATTCCCCTTTGGCCTTTTACAAAATGCAAGTTGGCCTGAAGAAACTTACTCAAATTGACAAAAGCAGACTAAAATAATTCAATGGTTTCTGACCTGAGGTGAACAAACTGTATGGAAAAAACAGGTATTAAACCACACAAAGTGAGCCAGGAAACCCAGCACCCCTGGGACAAAGTGTAATGTTATCATAAAGAAGAAGCAACATTTGATTTATGAATTAGTATTTTGTTGCACAGTCAGAGGGAGAAGTAATGTGATGGATGTTCTTTTTACAACTGGTCTCTTCTGAGTTATTTAAAACTACAGCAGTGTTAAGGTCCTAAGAGGTTTGAAGTGAACAGATCAGACAACCCCATAATATCAAACAGGATGGAGGTTAGAGGGAAAACTGCCACTGCAGCTGCTTCTCTGTAAAGCTCGGAACACCTCAAGACCTTGCAGGACCTCACTGGTCTGTTCCAGGACCCTCCTGTACCTGTCAGTCTGATTATGCTGTATATATTATGCTGATTATACCAATTTCAGTGGTGAGGAGAAGACTTTTCTAGAAACTTGATGAAATAATTCAGCTTGTTTGAGTTCAAATATGAGACACCTATTAAGCAGATAAGCTGCTGTTCTATAGCAGAGCCTTGCATGGCTTCGTAGAAAAGATAGCTCTTACCTTATTAAGTCACTTATTGATTTTACTCATTGACTTCTCTCTGAGTCAATAATAATATGAAATTAAAGGGATTTAAATGGTTATAAAGACGTTTACAGATAGAAGCAATTTAAGTGATAAATTGTGCCACATTGAATCTGAGGAATATTCCTGATAAAGTATAGGGAAAGTTCATAGAAGCAAGCTGTAGCTTCCTCCCATGAACTGGGTAATTCTTCAGATCTCTATATCCAGTTAGCTGGTGATACTAGATGATTTTCTTTCTTAGCTCCAATCTTATTTCTGTCTAGAGATTCCTGGTCATCTAACATGCTTCAGGAGCTGTAGAATATGAAGCCTACCAGACTGGTTATTTGTATGTTTTTTCTAAGAGTTATCTATTTCAGTTGGGACTTTGGAAGTCATTTTCTAACTGCTCAGTTAAGAGTGAATTAGGGTGTAGTCCTGTGAAAGACAGAAATCCAGTATGAGCCACAAGGAAAAAACTGGAGGTATGAGCAGGCAGTATCCAAAAGAAACTCCCATGTTGTTCCAAAGAACATGACCAGCCAATTGCACTGCACAAGGCACTTCATTAAGAATCAGCTGAATCTAAACTAGCCATAATATTTAATTTTATTTAAATTTTTTAAAAAATCTCTTATTTTTGCCAGTAAAGTGTTCTAAAAGTTATTTTTCCAGAAGTGTAGTTTGAATATAAATCTTCCTTTTAGAAAGTCCTTACTACACCGCACAATCAGACTATCTGCAAGGATCTTCCTACAGAGGATTCCAAGCTTGTACCAGATGAATAAACACTAACCCAGCAAGGCTCTGTTTCACTAGAGGGGGAAAAATGCTCAATCTTCCTGATAAACAGTGACTAGAAGCAAAATTTCTCACTTTGGAAATCAAGGGGCAAATCTAAAAAGATGATTAAATTCTCAGATGACAACCTTGACAGGACTGATTTAGTGTTTCAAATAATCCACTACACTTACTGCTCTGTTCTGTCAAACACTTCATTATATCCACAGTTGAAAGTATGTGTCAGAGTGGAGCAGGTACAGCTGTAATGCCTTTCCTATTATTACCACCTGTTCAACACATGATAATTTTGGTTCTTGATCCAGATTTAAATGGATACTTAATTTAATGTGCTGTGATTTACACTGATGAAAATGATACAAAGTTCTTTGCAGGTCTGCTTTAGTAGCAAATGCTTAAAATGCTTTGCTGACATAGGGATTTGGCCCTCACAAGCAACAAAAAAAAGCAATACCTCCCCCACAAATATTAGCTTTATTATGAAAACCTGTACATTTTTCGATATCAGGTTAGAGCAAATTCATTTTGATGCTTAAAGATAAATTCAATATTGTCCCTTTTTAATTACCCTTGTTTTAGTTTCGTGACTGTGTTTCCAAACAACAGCTTCACAATTCACTAGGTGTTACCAGATAGAGCTGCCTCCAAAGTCACTGAGGTCTATAAATCTGGATCACTACTTTGTACCTCATATCTAATTAACCAACAGCCTCTCCCAGACTGATTAAAAACCATGCAAATCCAACATCCAATTAAATTATTCAGGGACTCAAAGTCTTCCCTTCAACCCTCTTGTAGTACAACATTGTCAGATTCTTGAAGAGGATAGTCAGTGAAAATACTTTGTGTTTAAAGTGCAGACAATATCACATGACACTTTTTCATTCAGGGACTGAATATTTACTACAGATTCTGATAAAATTGTCTCATTGGGAGGTTTGGCAAGAGCAATGCAAAACTGTTCATATTCTCAATCAAAAAGTAAGAAAGCAGATTTTGTTTGATGTATTTAGTAGCATTAATAAAAATTACAAGCCTTACTTCATGAAAATCAGACTGAAAACTTTAGACGAGTTACAGGGTTTGTCAAATCTAGCCTTCAGTGAAAAGATTTTTCAGAGCTAAGTCTGTCACTGAATCAGAGGGATTTGTCTATCCCATGCAGTGTCATGTTATCTTCACGTTACTGAAACCAGTAAGCTGGCCTATCGTTACAGCAAACTGCGAAAAAATATAGTTTAAGTCCTAGACACTTGAGAAAACTGGTAATATAATGTTCTGAAAGGTGTTTGTGAACTTCACTGTAGTTCCTTGGTATAGTCATCTCTAATCTAACCTGCTCTTTATATCCACAAGTGAAAATACTGAGCAGGTTTATGCATCCAGGTGGGAAATTAGATTTAAATGCCAAAACAGAAGAAAATGCTTACTCAATAGCATTACTGAATTCCAGTTATGAGCCTGTTTAGCAGAGATCCCTAATTTGTCTTCCACCTGTGATTCCACAAACCAGGTCAGGTTGGACTCAGACAGCAGTAGCATGACATCCATGGAACCACACCTCTGCGAAACCAGTTGAAACAACAGATATGCCATGAGACATATGATCCTTTTAAAAGATGCCATTAACTGAAAACACCTCCGTGCTGTTATTGTATCAAATACTCAACAAAGGAATAATTATTTTGCTCTACCGTCTCTGTGGATAAGGTACAAAACTGAAGCCATAGTTAAAAATGAGGATTCCTTAGGAATAAGGGTGTTCTCCACATCTTTAAGGCAAATTGATCTCAGATAATTACAGTCAGTTTACACAACTTGCTCTTCAAGTTCTGGACGGATGCTGCAGCTTGCTCAGCACCTCTGGCACACCACTAAGCACGTAAGGAAGGTTTGCAATAGTAACAGCTGGAGTATTTCACCCACGGTGTCACAATAGCAGGTAAAACAGGTCCTGTATTATTTATATGCCTGCTAAGTGTTTGGTGAGGCAAGGTGCTGTATAACACAGAAGAAATTATCTATCACCTGCTCCCCAAATCGTTGTGCACACTCTATTGGACTTCTTCAACATAGTCATGTAGAGATAAAGGAAAACAGAATGAACTAGGGGAGATCAGTACTTCTAGAGAAACTGAAATTGTGTCTCATCTTACCTCAACAGTGGATAGCTCAGATGTCACAAAAATGCATTCTTGTTTGATATCCAAAACTCTAGATCAAATAAGGGATAAATTAGAGATCACAACAATCCTTTGTCATTGTAAAATAGTTTCTGTAAGTGTTTGCACAGTAGCTATCTTTGCTGCTTTCTGTGTTAGCCACATATTCTATGAGGCAAAGGTGCTTTCACACTGGAACAAAAATGAAGGAAATAAAAGTTTTTCTGAAATATAACAAGAAAAAACCCCTTTGATTAATTAGTTACATACTTGCCTTCAGAGAACATTTGGAAACATGTAAAAATATTTTATAATCTTTATACTATTCTGTGATTATATTTCCCTACTATTAGTCTGATTTACCTTGCTTCTTCCCGAGCCAAAATCTCCAGTAGCTTTGAAATGTCTCCTGGGCAGTCAGAAAGCACAAGGGAAAATTTGCACACTCTGTTATCAAGGGTCAGAGCACGAGCTATGCACTGTTGCAGCAAATGTAACTCCAGGTTTCCACTGCATATAACAATTGCCACTCTGAAAACAGAAAGAAAAATAGCATTTTTGATTAGCACTTGTCTGTGCAAAGGAAACAAATCACAGACATTGTATTCAATATCAGCTTAAGATCTGCTAGGACCACCCTTCAATAAATGTGTACTACATGTAAGAGGGGCTCCTGGCTCTAGCATTCATTTGTGGGCAGGCAGTGGAAGCCTAGAAGCTGGCTGCATCCATTGGTCTGAAACTTTGTTTTCATTTTGCATTTCCTTCAGATTTTAGTTTTGTTAGACATAGTTAGTTGGAGCATGCTAGTTCTGTTTCAAATTTTAAAAACGTAACATAATTCCCTGTAAGTTCTGAGTTTTAGCCTCTTCATGGTTAGATATCATGTTGTGCAAGGCATTCATTAACCATTAATTAAACTCATCTCAACCCTGCAAAATGAGTGCAGAAATGTTTGAAGAAGCCACATGGTTAGTCCATGGTAATCTCTCTCTGCAGTCAAACCTGACCTCTTCAAACCTTTGCATTTTCTTCTTGATCTTAGCTATACTGCACTGCAATTTGTTGCTGCTCTGTTTGTACTCTGCCAGCTTCTTCTGAAGAATTGCCTCAGTAGTATTTTAGTGTACAATGCTGTGCAATGGAGATTTTATTTTGTCTTGAGTTCATGTTAAATACATTCTGGGCTATATCCTAAGCCAAGGCTCAATCCTCTTAAGTACTGAGCCCAGATGCAAGAAAGCACTTACCCACACATTTAACACTAAACACAAAGGTAAACCCACTGACTCTCTGAGCAGGAGTTTTTGGCACAGGGAGGCACTAGGCAAGTGCAGAAGACAGCCTAGCTCCTGTTCCACCACAGACAGGACTGATTTCTACAAGTGAAGGCAACAGGCTGACAAGAGCAGGATGCTCTCCTGGTAGATGTGACCATGATCTGTGGAGCTTTGTGTAACTGTCATTCCCCCAACCCTTTGAGAATACAAGAAAATTACAAGATTTGTCTGGTCTCCAGGCTGACATTTGTCTTTTTCAACATGGTCTTCTGACCTGTGAGTGGTCTCTTCAGCCTGAAGTAGATGCCACAGATAGACTGCCAGTTCAGGGGTAGGAACTGCCTTGTCACTCATGAAACAAGTAGCTTCTCTCTCTCTGTTTCCTGGAAGCAAGGCACTCCACCCCATGCTTTTGCCACAGTTCTGTGTTTATAATAGCTGCTGTACCTTTTACCCTTCAACTCAGGCAGCTTCCCTGCAACCAACGCTGCAAGTCCAATAGCCCCATCTGCATCAACCGTAGCTCGCTCATACTCCAGCAGTCTCAGCATTGAAATGAAGATGTCCTCCTCCCTGAATGCAAAAAAGTTATGTCAAAAGAAAACAAAAGAGCTACCAAAAGCAGAAGACAATATATTTATCGTAAAGGGATTCTTTCTAGCCTTCTGGGTACACAACAATCCCAAGTTGGTGTTACAGCAAGCTGTGCTGGTGAAGTGAATGTGCATCTAGTCTTAGTTATTAACTGAAAGTCAGGATGGTAATTTTTTACTAGAACAATTGTACAAGATAAATCCTAGCAGTAAGTATATTGTACCAACTTGGTCTTTCGGTGAAGATTTAGAAGTTTTGCCACAAGCTACCTTCAAGTGTTGTAGAACTCAACAAGGACAAGTTTTACACCCAGTGCATCACTAGGTACTAGCAGCAGGTGAAGTTTTGGCCAAAGGAGTCAGATATGTGGGATTGGGTTCAACGCCTTCAGTGCCCCTCTTGGAAGGAAAGACACCCTGCCATCACCATGCTCTCACAGTGTGTGCATGATCGCAACTCTGGCGAACCAGCTCTCCACTGCATATGAAGAACAACAATGCCCTGGTGGTACCAGACACTTTTCATATACAGCAGTGTTCACTCAGTATTATTCATGTCACAGCTTTTCTTCACCTACCTCACAGCAACAACTTTGTCCACAAGTTTCCTGGTCAACTGCAAAGAATTGCTGCCAAAGCAAAGTCCGCTCACATCTGTCAATTCCAAAAGACAAAAATATGAAGATGGATGCTCTAGACAAGTTCAACATTTTTAGAGTCCTCACTGTTTTGTGCTCTTAATGACTGTAGCACACTGCTGTTATATGATCTTAATTTGATCTTAATTTGATCACTTCATTTGATCTTAATTTGATCACTTGATTTTTCGTATGACAGAAATGCATTTGGTAATGAAAGACCAAATCTTCTAGGAAGATTTTGCCATTTTGGACCCCTTTACTGGCACAGTCACACTGCAAGAGTGACCATGTAGCCCAGCACTTTTCACCATACAGTGAGGCCTGAAGACTGTGGCTCTGGGTTTATTAGCTGCAGCAGGACAGTTAGCAAAGGAGACAGACAGAGCTTACTGAGAGACAGCTGAGGTATTTTGAGCAAATTAAACGATGCAGTTGTTTCCATATATGAGCACTGTTCTTCAAGAACAGTTTTGAGTAAACATTTAAGCACTATATTTTTCTGCCTTTTCACAAATTAGTCTTTTAAAAGTGAGTTTTCCCATTGACTTCACTGGTTAAGGTGCTGCTTGTGAACACCATGGTCAGATAAATACTCTCATATTTCTAAATATTCACCTGAATATTTCATGTGCACTGGGAACAGTTATACCCCCAGGGTGGTGGTGGCAGAAATGCATCAGAAGTTTTTCTTACAGCATGAATTAAATTCTGACTCTTCAAAGGTTTCATTTATGGTATGTTTGAATTGAATTAGTAAGAAAAGAATACGGTCGGAGAAATCAATGAAAACCTTTATTTTACCTCCAAAAGAATAATCCATTTTCTTACCTCCATAAAAGTCATGATTGCCGCAAGCCTGGTCTTCAATTGGGTGGCCAGCCTTTAAGGATTGTTGCAATACAGGGAAACTTTCAGATTCAACCCCCTGGGGAAGACACATGTTGTCACTCCTTTATTGATTCAGTTGTAACAGAAGTTATCACCAAAGCAGACACCAAAAAAGCTACACAGTTTCTTCTTCGAATTAACAATTAATTTCGAATTGCATAATAACTGTGCTATCACTAAATTTATCCTATGGATTACTTAGGGCCAAACTTTTACAGTAAGAAAGTATTTCAAAACACAGAACTGGATTTGGAAGATTTTTCCTTAAATCCAGGCAAGCAGCCAAGGAGCAGGAGATTTCCCAGGCTCTCAGTGGCTCTTCTCCTTGGTAAATCCCAAGACCACAGTTCGTCCTGGTCCCCAGTATAGTCAGTGTCTGCCAGTGTATCACTAGATACCAGCATCTTTTGAAAATATCTGTCGTGAAAGCTGTCAAAATTGAACACTTTACAGGTGAAATGAAACTTACAATTACAGAAATGTGTGGATTGAGGTGTTTGAGTGCAGCAGCTGACCCTGCCAGCAAGCCACAGTGGCCTCCTGCAGGGAAAATCACTGCGTCCAGCTTTGGGACCTGCTCGTACACCTCCAGCCCCATGGTTCCCAGGCCCGACAGATAGACAGCACTATCCTCCCTGTGGGAAGGAAGGGTACAGCTCAGCAGGGTTCACAGTTGTCAACACAATAATACTGCCATCTACTATCTTAAAGACACTGTAAAGATGTAAAGATACACACTAAATTACCAGTATGATGGCAGGAGGCAATACAACAGGACACTGCTATCAGACAGATCATTGCGTGCTGTGTAAAGCATGATGTTACCCACTGGGAGAAAACTTGTGCCTTGACAAACTCCCCAAACAGTTTTCAGGGCAAAAAAGCATGTATCTCTATTGTTACTGGTATCAGGTGTTTACAGAGCTGGTAAGACAGAAGCTGTTTTCCATTGCCATCACTACCTTATGCTTCATAAATTTTAAATGTGGCAGTCCAAACTAAAATCAAAGTCTCAGAAGGAGATCTCCTTCTCGGCATTTATAAGTGGAATTTAGTGTTTACGATAAATGGGAATTTTCATTCAATCTAAACACTGTGTTCAACCTCACAACCTCACAAATATCAAAGATATTGTTACAGAGTTAAATCTTTCCACAGTCCAGAGCCAATATCTGATACATTCACATTACTCTGGAAGACTCTGGAAGGGTAAGAGAAGCATTTAGTCATGCCAAAATACTCACTGCTAAAACACTTTCAGGCAAAGGTAATTTGATGAGCAGAATAGGGACAAATAGAGTCAAAAGTTTGAAGAAAAGTCCACACAATTGACTTGGATCTATTTCTAAAAGCTGTTTTGCATTTTATTTAAAAATTAGCAATGATGCTAAATGTAGAATAATAACCAAAAAAAATGAAACCTCTGTATGACTGTATGTTCTGTTTTTTTCTGGCAAATGATTAAGCAAACAGAATTATAGATCAAATGACTTCACTTGATTTACTTGACGCAGGACATTCGTGTACCAGGAAGCTATGCTTTTATTACTGTTAGACTTGCAACGAGAGGCTCAGCACAGGAGCACAGGATGTTTGCAAGGTGAAGACCATGGCCCTTTTGAGAAGTTACCTCACATATATAGCAAAAGCAAGCAAATTCCTCAGGATGAGAGTCTATATAACTACACAAGAAAGGAAGGGAGGAATGAACTTTCACTCCTGTAGCACAGCTAGAGACAGTGGGGTGGGTAACTGAACCCTTGAATTTATTGTCTTTATCAAGATATTGAGGGAGCTTTTTCTTCTTATATGTGACAAAATATATCACTGGTCTCCTGAACAATTTTTCTGGAGCCTTATTCACAAATAAGATTCAGAACTGAGTTTGCAGAGTTACCCTTGCCGTGGTTACATGGGAAACCGTGGGGACCTGCAAAAATGAATGAGGACCTGGGATATTCAATTTGCAAGAAAAACTACTCTAACAAACTCAAAATTCTGTCCAAAGGAGACTACTCGGGGCATGGAGATTTATTAGCAGTTTGAATGAATGTTTCAGGTAATCACGTTTTCCTTGCTAACGTCTAGTTAAGAACACCAGTTCACTGATCAGCCTCCAGCTTTTTATAATGAAATGAGTTATTTTATTGCAGTGTGACTGGTTACTTTTGCTTTGTGAAAGCAAACATATCTCTTTCAATAGCATATGCTATTGAGGGAAAATCAAAGAAAAGGGCAGATAAATCTAAAGACTGTAGATTTAAATAAGCATTTATGAGTCAGAGCTAGAAATCTGGACATTTACCTTCTGTAATGTGAAATCAAAGAGGCTGTCAGGCTTCAGGTTTCCAATGAAATTTTGACATAGCAGCTCACAGTCTGTTCCCCTGATCTGCAAATAAGGGGCTCAAAAGCTATTGGCTGTCCTTCCTGGAGTAACAGACTAACCAGATCACAAATGAACAAGGATCAGGTCTGATCAGTATTTGGATACAGAGTTACACAGGAAAAAAAATGGACTCTAAAGGAAGGAAAGTGTGTAGTTCAATCTGTAGCACTCTTACCTCTCTGATTCACAAATCAATCTTTCTCACATCATCCCAGAGGTACTGTGTTACTTACTTGCAATCTTCACATTGCATTTATAATGAGGTCCTGAACATCTATATTTATTAAAAATCCCATATTACCTAAGCAGCAATTAGGTAGACTTAATGATTGAATTCCAACTTGAAAAATCATATTTCCTTCCTGGAATTTCACAGGAAGTTGCAGTTGGATAGAAGTTTCCTTCCTCTAATTGAACTCTTGCATGATCATTTTCATAACACAGTATTTTAATTGCACTCAAGAAATGGGAAGACTTGACACTGACACACCCAACTACAGGACACTACCCATGCAGGTAAAACCAAAGATGGTCACGGAACATCAGGAAAGAAAGAATGAATTGTTGGTTAAGGAGATTTAGAGACAAAATTGCTAGGGATTTTATGCAAGCTTGACTTAGACCAAAATAAAATGACATTTCAGAAGTTCCATTCTAAAGCAGAGGAGATCAACTGATGTTTTAAAGACAGCTTTGGCAAGTGACAATGGAAGTGTGTCATACACACATTGAAGATGACTGGCTATCCATATATGCATACATCTCTCTGGGAAAGTTCTCCCAGTCTACACCTAACAAAATACTTTTCAGACATCCCATTATGAAAAAGCTCAAAATTGTAGTGGGGTTTCTCTTTTTTTTTTTTTTCCTCAAAAGTGTGAAAAATTGCATCTGTGAGGTTTTAATTAAACATAACAACAGATTGAATAACTGTTTCTTGTAACCTGAAATACCTGTTTCTTGTAGTCTGAAACCTGAAATAAATCAGACTGCTTTCATATTATTAATGGTAATGTGTGCGTTTAGAGTTCCTCAGTGCTTCACATGCATTGTCCCTGGAGTTTCATGAACCTGGAGAATATTACTTTATGTAACACAAATAATTATTTTGGGAGAAGGGGAAGATAAACATGAAATTACAATACAATAATTTAGTTCTTACGTGCAAACACGATAGTTAATGCAAGTCAACTGGAAGTTAACACACTGTTTGAAAAATGGCTGACAAATTTGGAAATCACAAGGTCATGGAAAGCTGTGGTTTTCATGGAGAGCCTAAAAGGGTTTTAAAATTCAGTGAGATCTAGGGGACCTCATTCCCTTGTGTTTTACTGAAAGTCTCAGTCTGGGACAAGGTTACTCAGGGTGACTGACAAGGAACACCAACCACCTCTGTGGATTGTTTGCTTCTGGCAGAGCTAACAGTGCAGTTGAAGAGTAGTTTTTAATATTGCCTTGTCAATAAACCAATTGGGAAAGAAGTGAGGACTTTCTCCATTCTGCTCATTCTGGGATCCTCTTTCCAAACAACATGACTCATTATTACTATGTTTAATGCAGGAGTGCCTGAGAGCAGCAGGGGATGGCCACTCACTGCAGTAGGTGCTGTACAAACACAAAGTGGTGGATAAGCCTTCACAGAGGCAGCGATGGGGAAGGAGAATAACATTCCAGCTCAGTGCATCAGAGGGACCGCCAGCTACCTCATGCTAGTGATTCATCACTTCTCACTGTTGGAAATATTACTTGAAAAAAAGGCAAGAAAAAAAAAAGAAAATGGAAGGGAAAGGTGGAAGGCACTGCAGAGAGTAAAGGAAAAAAATGGAAAACAGATCAGTTCTAAATATTTTTGTATGTCTTATTCTTATTGTGTTTTTATTAAATTGGGCCTGTTCAATGACCTGAAATAGTTCAAACTTACATATATTTAAAATAAGTAAGGATGAATATAAATTTGTGAAGTGGCATCTTATTCCTCTTTTTCCAAGGCAGAGTCACAGTTTTGTCAGTCATACCAGATATGCAATAATTTTACAGCACTAACCTTCTCTTGCTCTACACTATATCACTGAAGCCTTTGCATTAAATATTAGCTTTTACACACCTTACTCCAGAGACCATAAATGAATGCTAACCTTAATCCTTTCTGACAGGGGTCATAAATTGTTGACATACATCCATTATCATACTGACCCATATCATTCCTAATCAGGAGTTTGCCTAATTTGGGGGAAGTGTTTCATTTCTTCAAGGTCTTTCCTTTCTTCAAGTCTTTCAAGATCTTCAAGGTCTTTTCCAACCTAGACAATTCTGTGATTCTGTGATTTTTGTTTCCATCACAAACTGTTATAGAAAGATTAGTGATTTGTGCCTGGGAATATGTAACTGTCCATATCCCAGGTAATGGGAACATTTTGATGACTTGTGATCAAATTTTAATGAAACTAATTGTCTTGGCAGAGCTGTGCAAATATCTAATTTAATCTTTCTAATCAGCCTGACCTTCCACTTACTCTTCAAGGTAGAGGTAACCATTCTCCCGCGCCAACCTTCTTGCATGCATCTGGGAATCCTTAGCTGTAGTTCCATAGGATATAACCATGGCACCGTACTCACGGCACATTTTCACTCTGGCTGGAGACGTGCTGGTTGACATGATGACAAACACTGGAATACGGAGCTCCGAGGCATGGTAAGCAACAGCCATGGAAAAGTTACTGTCCGAAGCCACAATCACACCCTTTCTTTGCTGATCCTAAAAAACAGTGTTGCTTATTGCACATTATATAGTGTCACAAAGTTGTCCCATATGATCCTGGATCATTCCAATGGTCTGACTTCCTTCTTTTCCTTTACTAGATGATCATATTATGATACAGTATATGCATGTCTGGCATAATCTCATGATTAATACACAGAGCTAAGACAGAACAAGATCAATCCCTGTTTCTGCACTCCTCTGGGTTCAACTCATTACATTAGAATTAGCTGCAAAACTCCAGCTAATCCCAGAAGAGGCAATATCTGGTCCCTCAGAGATGATATCTGGTCCCTCTTTCCTGCCTGCATGAATTTATTTCATTTCAGGTTTCCCTTTAACAGAAGGATTTATTCATATTATGACAAAAGTGCAGGTATAACCACTGTTTCTGGGCTACTGTACCATGACAATTATAATTATTATTGTTGCAGGGACTCAATAACCTCCTACGACAAATGACAAACAAACTATTAATGTAATGATACTGAAATTCATTACAAAATCAACCGGTGATATAGATCCTTCTCATCACCCATTGTAACTCACTTTCATCATCATTTAAAGTTTGTGGTTTCACCACATCAGAACCATAGTAGACACACAAACACTGTCATCTAAATGCCACAGAAAAACTCTGGTATTAACATTTTGCAAGCTTTTCTTTCAAATATTTTTAAGCATTTCAACAGCAGATCCACCAAGCATAAATAACAAAGTATTTTATATTCAGATACTTGCAAACTTATCTATGTTGTTCAGCACAATGGTTCAAAAGGCAAGAAACACTACAATTCCATGGATAATACAGGTAAAATTATCTTTAATTCTGCTCCATTTTTGTGAGATGGAACAAACTAATTTCTTTTTGAATGTTGGCATGTTGTTATACCTGAGGCAATGATGTCAGAAGGTAAAGTACACCTCGTTCCTTCACAGATCCTGTGTACTGCAGGAACTCTTTCTTTAGGTAGATGTCCATTCCGTACTGCTTGGATAACCTAGAATACTGGAGTATAGAAATGTTATTATGGGGATATATATAAAATGAAGAAAAAACTTCCACACCCCATCATCTCTCTGGTGAGATATGCATTCGACTGCTATGTATGAGCTGTAAAAAGTAAATTTCATAAATCTGTTTCTTTAGATATACATGACAGTGTATTGTTACCTACCAGATTCTTCTGGTTTATGGAATTCATTTTCAAACTCACAGCAATGAAATACATACCCCATACCACATAAACACCTTTCTTCCTTTGAACCTGTTTTTCTCCCAGGGCCGTTCCTTTATCATGCACAAGGTCATAATGTACCTCAGTTTCTCTCTTTGTTAACATAACAGTCCTTTGTTAGCATAACTGTACCCTGGGTTTTTTCCTTTGTTTACCTCCGATGGCTGTAATCAGCCTCTGCAGAGACCCATGGCCTTGCTCTCTGCAAGCCATTCTCCAACACATACCCATTACGAATTCTGAAAATAGCACTTATTTTGGTCTTACTGTTCAAATGCAGATATTAAAATAAGTATTTTCAATTATTTCAAAAACCACCCTATGGTCTGATATTTTAGCACTTGCCAGAACTGAACATTGAATATCCTAACAATAAGGTCATCTCCTAATAGATACAAAACCAGTTAGAAAATTCCTCCTTGAGTGCCATTATGACTCTGCTATGGTTTCTGCCACTGATTCACTACTGAATATTGTCCAGTTTTTTGTGTCCTAAGGCCAGTATGACATTAGTAAAGACACTTATTGGAGAATGATGGAAATAATACAAAATATTTCCCAGGTTTGCAAGTGTAAGCAGCAGCTGTTTGAAAATGCTCAGTGTTTGGAACAGAAAGGATTGCTGAGCTGAGAGGAATTAGCAAGCATAATACATGTCATGCAGTGCCCAAGTGGATGATTTTTTAAATATTTTTTTTTTAATGGCAAACCTTTATCAGTTTTTATAGGAAGACATAGCATATATCACCATATTAATTTCCTATTACCATATTATTTAAACCAAGAGTTATAAACAAGATAACATATGAAATAGAGCTGCAGTAAACTTGTGGGTTCCAGTTCCCTAGGTTTACTGCATCTCTATTTTATCATCTGCTCTATTTCTTCCATTGGCTGCCAAAGTAAATGAGGACCTGGGGATTTTGGGGATCAAGCCCTCATTTATAGTAAGTCACAAAGAGAGATAGATTAAAAGACAGCATGACAATATATTTAAAATATTTATCTCAAAAAGTATCTGGTGGTGTCATGTACAGTGTACATAGTAATATGTACTGATATTTTTCAGACTGTGAGACTTCCAAAATGCATTTATATAAAATAAATATATTGGAAACAGATACTTGCTTTAAGGTATACATTTAAATATTTCAGATTAATGTTTCAAGGCTTATTTAGTGGATTTACAAGCATATGTTAAATTCCTCACCCAGAGATGGGGCCAGATTTTCTATTTTGCTTCTGAATATCCTGCAATAGGAGCTACCAATTGCTGCTCCTTTGCAAATTTGGCTGCAGAACTGAAAGAATGGAAAGTGCTTAGTACACTAATAGGATAATAGTTTATATCCTAAACAGCCTAATCTATGAAGAATGCCTATGCAAAACAGAACAAGAACACTAGACAAGAAACACTGGTTCTTCACATACCATTCTGGTTTTATAATTTTTGGTTTTGTAGAGCATCTTGGATTCTAGAGTGAACAATGAGAAAAAGGATTTAAGGAGATGAATCCTGTGATTTATAAAGTTGCTAAATCTCCCACATTTAAAATGTCTTTACCACAGAGGTGGTGTACTTGAGATTTTTTTTTTTTCTTTAATTCTGATACTCAATATTTTAACTCTTTAGATTGCCTTTTTATGCTTCCTTTAACTGAGGCTTTTTTCCATGTAGCCTAAATATAGCAATTGCTTCTAACAAAGGAGGTTGTCAGTGCTATTTTCAGCTGTACTGACCTGATGTGTGGCCTGGTAAGACTCATTGAACCAGCCTCCAAGTTTTTACCTTTTGACCCTGTGATCTTACCTAGGGACTACAGATTCTGTGTCTAATGTACAACACACAGCACAGCCTCCATTTGGCATCCACAAAGTTACCACAAAATGACCCTTAAAGCTCTTACATCAGTAACCAACTAAAAGCCCATTTTAATGCTAATTCCTTGTCCTATACTCACTACCTCTATAACATCTGTTACAATCACTCATGACGCCATATCTCAGCTCCAGGCAAACTCCTGAATAAGGATTCAGAATGTTCCCTCCATGGTCTTACTTGCAGGTTAGGAATCCTCCTGTAAAGTGATTTCTCCATTCAATTAACTGAATGGATTATAGCCATGCTTGGTTTTTAAATCCAAACAAATGTCCCTGAAAAGGGCTCTTACATCTCAGCAATGAATTGAAATAAAGATTATCAGTGTTGTTCTTGACACCTTTCTACTTTCAATACTTTCCTTTTGAGTAAGTGCTTGAAACATATACTAATGACTTCTGCAGGAATATTATTTTGAATAGCAACAGACGTGGTCTATTTTCACACTAAAACAAGTGGGGATATAGGCTTTCCACTATTCTGATCATCCCAAAAGCACAGTTCATTAAAAGAGACTAAAGAAAGCCAGCCTGTTTGGCTTGCCACAGTAAATGCAGAAAGGGGATGTTGCATAAATCTGCCAGGGACACCCAAGAGAAAGGAACTATGTAAATTGAGAGGCAGAGCTGCCCAAGAACAAATGGTGTGAATTAGCCAAAGAGAGCTTCAGTACTTGTGAGCAGGAGCACTATCAGTTTATGAAAAGTTTGGTATTATACAGAAGCCGGCAGGAGCAGAAGATGAACTCAGTGGTGCAGTGTCACCTTTTCCTACATTAGGATGTGTTGTGAGCAAAGACACAGCTCAGGGGATGGAGTTGAGATAGACTTTACTGGTTTGACAGAAGTGCACGACACCATGAGCTGCAGGGAAAGGATGATCCAGGCTATCAAAGGGTACGGAGCTAGCTAGTTCTGCTTTCCAAATTAAGCCCTGACACTCTCCCTGCCCACTGACCTACCTTTGTGCAGCAAGATTAACCCATCTAACAGATATGACCAGAGTTGTCAACTACAGAGAAGCGCAGTGCTCGCTACCTGCAATATACATGCAAATCTTCCTGGGGCAGTCTCTCCACAAAAGCAGAGATTGACAAGATTGACAGTTCTGTCTAGACCACTGACTGTGCTCTCAAGCATGACAGTCAGAGTGACAAATGATGGAATGTGCAGAGTTTGGTACACTCCCTCTGTTCACCCAGGCCCTGTGCCCTTGACCACCCATGCTGCACATATGTTTGCCCACTCCCTCCACATTCCCAAACAAGCCAACTTTTCCACGCTGAAAGGAAATCCAGGTACAGCTGGCAGGATGGATTACTTCTCAGTCACTGAACAGGCAGCATATGAATGTAAAGTGCATTCAGTTTTACTCCCTGCACTTTGGACAACACTACCCTGCAAGTTTTTTGTGCCACCTTACAGCCCCAAATGGCCTTGTATTATTCTCTCTGTCACAAGACACACTTCTTCAATGGTATGCTGAAGTTGTTTTAGGAAATCTAAGCTAAAAAAAACCCCACCAAAATAATTATGATGTCTCTGGATCAGCAGGCTCCATCTGGGAATAAGGAGATTTTCTGCACCTTGCAGACCCAACCACTTTGCTCCAGGGACTGTTAACCCCATGTTAGACATGAAAGTTCCTTTCCCTGTCAAGGCCAGCAAAAACAATCCACAGCCAGTGAGGCTGGTGGGGTGACCCGGGTCAGCAACAGGGAGCAAGGGATTCATCGAGAGAGTGATTTGTGGCTGCTGCTGCTATGAATTACCACTTGGCAAAGACAGTCTTTTGACCCACTGAAGGGAAAGGAAGAGATTAGCCATAGAGTGAGTGCCTACAACAGCCTTCATGAAGAGCTCACAACAGTAGAAATACATTACAAATGAAATAATGTGTCATTGTACTTCTCTTATGCTTTAGCAAATTCTTGTACATTTATGGGAATGTCTCAGTCATTTTCACACCTAGACTGTTCAATAGGTGCATATATGTGTGTGTATATCTTAATGTTCTTGTTTTGTTGAAGACACATGTGGCAGAACCACCTGGTTACAGAACATGTCCAGCCTTGCCAGATTGGCCAGGCTAGGAAGGAAAATCTGTACCTTCAAATGCTCCAAATATGAGAGTTTGTTCCAAATCAGACCCTCCCACAAGACTGCTTACCCAAACACTGGTAGTCCACCATCTCCAACTCAGTTTCCTTGTAGCAAGAGTTTTTCACCAGGAGCATAATACCCCAGTGCATTAAGTCTATGCCTAATGTGGTTTATCCTTTGTTTACAGATCACTGCAATCTTTAAGGATTTAAGTAAGAAGAAAACTAAATATGAACATGAGTCATCTTACACATATCTATCTAGAGCTCACACATACTCTTCATTCACTTCTGATCAAGTTTTATAAAGAAAACAAAAGAAATACTGAGAGAATGCAAACTCCCTACCATGCATGGGGTTTTCTGAACACCGCACTGGATTTTGAAAGCTGCTGCACTAATATCTTCAAATCGAATCAGCTTGTTACAGCTTGACAGGCTGGTCCTACTGCTTGACTGAGGGATGCGGGAAAAGGCATCCCTAAGTAACTCCTCGTTACGGTTCACTATCTTCATTTCCCAGGTCTTCACATCCCCATTCAGGTAATCGTCCTCACCAAAATCTTTCAGTCTCTCAGGGCTGATAGAGGGTGGCTTCTGCCCAATAAGGCCATTTCTTACTGGCTCATCCTTACAACAGTGAAGATCACAAAGTGCTGGGGAATCTTGTTTCTTTATTTTATTGTCATCCCTAAAAGCAAATAAAGAAACTTGTTAGGAAAGCTTGGATGATTAAAGGCTTGACATTTATTGTTTAAGAAGGATGCACATCTCAGCTGCTTTTTGAAAGCCTCAGATAGGCAAACTGAGTTATTACTGTCATATTAGCTTATCTTGTAGGTGGATTGAAAGCTACTGTAACTAGCCAGCTTTTAGAAAAGGCACAGATAACCTGGCACATGGACAAAATGGGTAACTGTCATACCCAAGCAAATAAGAAAGATATAATATATATTGTCTGGGCAGCCAGTCCTTTCTTGATATTCAGTCTCAATCAGCAATGATCCCAGTTCAGTACTTCCAGAAATTTTGGAATAACTGGAATTGTATTTGCTATATGCAACTCCATGTGTTTCAAAAAAAAGCAAATAGCTGCTGTAGAGCATTCCCTAATACTATTAATAGCAGTAACAAATGTCATTATGTTGTACACAAGAGGTCTGCTTCTTTGCTCTTCCATACTTGCAGAGCATACTCTTGACAGTTGTCAATTGCCTCATGACAGGAAGAAAATTACTTTGATAAGGGATAACAATTACATCCTACTGCAGAGCTAAAGGTCTCCTGATTTCCGAGTTAACACTTCACAAATAAAAATACCTGTAGATAAGACAACACCGTGATGACACACAAACCTCCTTCCACAAGAAACTTTAGAGGGACAACACTTCTACAAAAATTTACCAGTTTTCCCTCAACTGCCTTACTGTCTGGTCCAGTGTTCAGGAGTTCACAAGCAATAATATAGTTTAGGATTTTGCAGCTCTGCTAACAAATAAATGTAAAACTTATAGGTATTCTTGGAAATTGGAGAGTAATGTGTGGAAAAAGGAGCATTAAGCAAAAGACCAGTGCTTTGGAAAAGAGCCAATATCACTCCTGGTTTGTGGCTATAATTACACAGAAGGTATAAGCCCCTCTACATGAAGGACTCAATATTAATCTATTTGGAAGAAACATTTTCTAAAAATATACATATTAAATTATGTCAGAGATTTCACCATCATCTCCAGCAAAAAATATTTACCATTTTCATAGAATACATTGGATTTAAATTATGCAGTTATTCATCAGCAGGGCTGGCTAAAGGAAGTGTTCCCCTAGTTTTACAGCAGTGATCATCACTGTAATGTGTACTGTAATAATTTCCAAAAAGAATTAAAAAATATTTAGAGACAGCTGCTTTTTGAGCAATTGCCCCATTTTTGGCAGTCATCTGGTTTTTTTTTGTGGTCCTAGTAATCTTTGCCAGTAGCTCTGCCTCCTATTACGCTTCCAGTTGTTTCACTGAGGACTTCACATAACAATATGGGCAACATAAAAGGTTTTGTTATTTCAATCAAGTAATCTACTAGTAGCATCAACCGTTCTGTATATCCTCACAGGAGACAAAAAAGGACAATTTTTGTAGCAAGTTCTTCTCTCTCCAAAATTAATGAGAATTTTCTAAGATAAATAAAGTATTTACACATTTATAACTTGTTTATGTTGAAACTTGTGATTTAAAATATTTTCCCAAAACCTTATCTTAAAGCTGGTAAAACAGCAGGCATTCTGCCTTCAAATTAAATAGATTATCAAGTAGCTCTATTCCACACTTCTCTGCATTTCTGCTCCTTTGGGGTTAGAGGGTTGGAACACTTCATAAAGATGTTAAGCTTCCAGTGTTAGTTCTCATGCATATTAGTTAGCTTAATGCAAAAATGAGAATCAGATCTGACTGCCTTTCCACAAACTTGTTACAACACAGCCCCTGGCATAAACAACAGCTATCATCATCTAAGAGACCAGATCGCCCCCCAAAAACCCCATTTTCCATATCACAGTAGCCTCTAACCATTCCAGAAAGAGAAGAACATATACATATTTTCTCTAAACATATTATCTAAAACGTTTAGCAAGCATTAGCAATGAATGAAATTTCTTATACTGGCAATGAGTTAAAAGAGTATATGTAAGGTAAAATACATAGGTAGATAAAAATCTGTGATTTTTCTAGGTCAGTATTTTTTTTCTGACCGATATTTGAGATAGGAGGTAAATTCATACTTTTTCTTTACATCTGCTGCAATGAACTACAACAAGCCCATAAAAAACCCCAGCCAAAGATGACCACAGAAAGTCCATTGATGAATGAGAATTCTGTTAGAACGTACAAACTACGGGGAAATGCCTCACCACACTAGTGCCATCAAATATTTTTATGTGCAAACAGAGACACTAAAATGGGATCCTGATTTTTGGCCCTAATCTTCAATTTTCTTTCTCTAGCAGAACAAAGGAGGGAAGTAAATCAGATTCTCAGTCCTTGACCTGCAGCACAACTCTCATCTAGTCAGGACTCGGAGGGAGACAACACCTTATGACCACTGGGAAAAAAGACAAAAAGTCAAACAGCTGTAAAATATGTGTAGGTTTCTCAAGCTTGAGATATGTTTAAAGCACATCTCAACATTTAATATGGAAACTATCATTCATTTGCATCTGAAAGGTCAACATTACCCAAGGAATATCATGTACATGTATGTACTGTATATATTTATTTCAGATAAAAGTTATTCTCCTTCTATGATTCTACTTTTCATTTACACTAGTGAATTAATTTTTTCCCTATAAAACCCTCATGGGTGTGTCACACACATGGTAAACAGTGAGTTGAGGTTTGATAATCCATCACAAACAATAACCCTGGTGGGTCAGATACATTTCTCTCATAAAACACAGTTTGTATGCTTGGTGTAGACTACCTCAGTATGAATTTCTTCTGCAGGAACAGTAAAACCAGGCAAAGAATGCAAGTGCTCACAGGAAGACAGCACGTGACATCTTGTGAGCAGTAACAAAATATGGCCCCTGTTCTAGTGATCGTGCCCACTAGATACAAATCTGAGCCAATATAAATACAAACTCCAACGTTATAAAACATTGCTCCTCTCAGATGGATTGCTTTTCCTTTTTTGGAGTATGCCTAGGAAAGTTTTCATTAAAAAGTCTGTTTATTTCCAGCCATAAAACAAATATTCAGCTGGCAAACTTTGTTACATGGTTATAAATTATGACATTTTAACTTCAAAGTGATTAGTAAAAGCAAACATGCAAATACAGTTTATAAACCTACTTTTTCAAGAACAGCTCTTCAGCATAACTGAAAAAAATAAAAGAGAAGATCTGTATGCAGACATTCCATGAGTAATTACAGAAATGGAAAAATTATCATTTGTTTAAGCAGATAGCTTGACATAGTTTAAAGTCTCAAAGAAATGTACTCTTAGAATGATAAAAAGTAACAACTCAGAATTAATGATTTTTCTGTTTCAAATTTGTTTTCTTGCATATACTTATAATTTTCATCGTTAAATAACAATGGGGAAAATAAGTTTGGAAAAACAGTAATATTAATAAAGTAAAATTAATAAACCCAACAAAAATACTTTTGGGAAGCTAAAACACAGTAGCAGTACATACTAAACCTAAAGACCACAACTGTTTCTTTTGTTACAAGGAGAAAGAAATGACCACGCAGTTAACCTGCAATGATGGGACAATTACAAGTCCCCATCAGATGAAGCACATGCTGACTGCTTTCCTCAGGATCCATGAAGCAAACTAAACAGATTAAACTGACACGCTGGATCTCTTCAGCTTCTAAAACTGAAGGAGAAAAAAAAAAAATCTACAAACTCACAGATGTCCAGGAAGGATTAGTTGCTGTTTCTCCCAGTATAAATGTTAGGGGGACATCCTATGAAAGTATCAGGCAAAAAAATATAAAAGTTCCCTTCTTACAGGAAATAAATAGCTAGCAGAACTCATTGCCACAGGATGCTATGAACGACAATGAGGTAAACGGGTTCCTAAAAAGATTGTGCAGCTATATGGAGGTAGGTCTAATAGTAACCAATAAACACATCACTGAAGAATCACTGTGATTCAGGAAACCCCTAAGCACTTACTTGACAGACTCCATGAAAGCATACGAAGAGAAAGCATCTAAAGTGACTTTTATTTTTCTCCAAGCTTCTGTTACTGGCCACCACTACAGAGAAAACGCAGAAGTAGACAGCTCTTTGGTCTCACCCAGTGCTGCCATTTTGATTTGCAGACATACCCAATGTCAGCATTTGGACCATTTGGCATCTTTTACACCTCTTACTAAATGAGTCACAACAACACATTTTGAGGCAGAAATAAAGTTGAAATTATGGATGTACATACATGTTACTGCACTGCTTCACAGGTAGAAATTCAAGTGTCACAGAAGGCAAAGAAATTTTAGTATAAGACTGAAAACTTGGCATTTCTTTGTCATTTCTACAGCAGTTTTTATCATCTGCATTCACGATGAAACACACTCACCATGAAGAGGGACTGACAGCACAGTACAAGTTCTGTAGAGTATTTTAGCACCCTTACAGGTCTATACCATATCAGGAATGTCAAAGTCCACTTAACTTGGACTGATCAGTGGCATAGTGCAAACTGGCAAAGTGTTATGCTTGAATACCACTTCAAACCATCCCAAGATTGGGGCTAGTCTGTAACTAACTCATCAGGACAAATACAGACATATGCACATGTTCTCTGTATGTGAGTTTTTTATTTAATTCTTTTTTAATGCTTGAGGGATAGGGGGTTCTTTAGCTTATATTTACATGCTGCCATCATCTTCAGGTTCCCTGAACATCTTCCTAGAGAACACTGAGCAAAAGACACTGGTAAGATACAGTTTTATACATACTTGCCATTTGCTTTCTGGATAAATGGACTCAGATCTTACACCTGCAAGTTCGGAATACTTATTACAGTGAAAAGTGACCCCCTTTAAAGTCACTTCTGCCTTACTCTTCAAAGTGCTGTGCAGAGATGGGTCATGTACGGGGGCAGGGGTGAGGCAGGGGGAGCAACCTGCTGCAGGCAGCAGTCTGCTTGACTTATGACTGAGATGCAACTAGGGCTGGGATCTCCTCTCAAAAGAGTGAGAAAGACACAGTCCCAGGATATGACAGAGAGGGCCCATTCCCTCATCCAAATCCCGCTTTTACTTGGAATATCCACAGCTCCATTAATCCTTCCGATTCCATGCACCCAGCCCCATCTCCTCTGGCCCTTCCAGATGCCTGAGCCTTCCACACCCCTCTGATACTTTCCCTGTTTGCTGCAATCCCCTTTCCCAGTAGCTCCTAAACGTTCATGTTCCATCCCAAGTCCTCTTCTACTATTGTCCCTGCCCTCCCCAAACACATCCATATGTTGCAATGACAGCAATTCTTAAGAGCACCTCAGCAGCTGTGCAAGCAGTCTTTATGAAAGAGAATATACAGAAAAATCGAGGCTTGCTGACATACAAATGGCAAGAAGTATCATAACAGAGGTCATCTTCACTGCTAGTTATTCTAGGTTACTGCACTGTACAGTGTCTTGAGTGTCCTCCAGAGAATTACAGGGTGAAAGTTTACTTGTCACCCTGTAATTCTCTGGAGAGAAGAAGAATTACTCCAGGAGAAGGGATGCTAGATCTCTCTTTGACAATACAGTTAAAACAGATCAAAGACAATACTTCACTTGAACATTACTTTATCGAATTACCATTACTTTGTATAATATTAGTACTTAGAAACACCCATCTGAGACTGTATCTCTCCAACTAGTGGCAATTACAGGATGGAAATTTAGATACCCAAACCCTAAGCAAAATTATTGTTCCTAAATCATGTCACCAACATCTCCGCCTAAACAGAAAGACCAAGTCAGTAAATATGAACTCAACTTTATTAATAGAAACTGGGACACAGACAGCTCGAGTAACTTGCCTGTTTCCTGCAGGAAGTTCGTAGCAGGACTACTTATCAGTGTGTTCTAAAGACAAAGAGATTGGGGCTCAGTTACTAGTTTGTATGACACAAATGTTAAGGGATGTCTGCACTGTGACCATCCAGCACAGATAGGTACATAACAACCAAGCCTGGAGATTGAGTGGGCATTTATAACTCTACTCACTGTATAAAGGTCTGACAATACCCTGTGACGTTACACCAGCAACAAATGCAAAGAAAGCTCAGGCTCATGCAGGGAACAACCAAACTGCATTATCACTTCTGATAAAATATCTCCTTTCTTTCAGTAAGTCAGATTTACCAGAGCCTGATCCTAGTATTATATCTGCCTTCATCTGTGGTCATAATCCATTGCCAGCCTTCAGTATCCACTATGAAAATGTCAGTGCTTACTGCTGGCAATGGCAACTGGATGTCAGCTGCTAAACAGATAACATGAGAAAAGTAATCGGAAAGCAAGAAGAGCTCAGAAGGTCACCCCTTTTGGTTATCTCTTCTTCAACACCTTCCAAGTGTCCCTCAAATAGACCCATCCCTCTAAGCATTTCTTACAGGACATTCACAGCTGTAAATGTCAAATGATCACCACCCAACACTACACACAGTTTGGCAGTAAAAACTCTTCAAGTAATTAAACTTTTTTCCTCTTTAAATTAAATGTATTCTGTTTAGAGATTCTCTGGTGATTAATGTATATTCATAATTCATTTAAAGAACAAACAGCATAACCCAAACCAGATGCAAGAGTGGTCCTGTAAAATGAAAGGAATGGTTTAAGATTCTCAGAACATATCGCACCATGTATGACTTCAGGCAAGGCATTTCTTCAATGCCAAACTGGGATCTTGTCTTCCCCTTTGGTGTTCCATAAGGTTTTATTAACAGCATTGATCCCTCTGAAACTATTTATGTTTTAAACATTACCAATATCTTTGACTATTGTCAGGATACAGGAAATAAAAATTGCCCCTTGTTTATACTGCATCTGGCAACACCAAGTTGTGATCTTGCCAGCAGTGTTGAGATCATAAAATTGGGGGAAAAAATCAGCTACTATAAAAGTTAAGAGTGAGGTTGTGCAAACAAAACCATGCCACATGGGTGCACATGCCTCAGCTGGTTGCTATGCAAGGGCACTAGATGTCTCCTAAATTGTCTGCACCATCCAAGCTTGAAAACAGGAATTCAAGAAAACTATAAGCACCATAACAAAGACAACCACAGAACACTTGTAATAACAGGATCTGACACAGGCTATCCCAAGATAAATTTTTAGCAGTCCAAAGGCTTGTCTAGGGTTTTTTCTAACCCCATACTCATGAAGAAATAAAAAAGCTGAACTCCACAGGCTTAAAGTATTCAAGTCTCCACTGCTTATAGTGAATGACTGCAAGAGTAACTCATACCCACAAGAACAATTTCCTTTTTTTTTTTTTTTTTTTAAAGAAAGTAAGGAAAGGAAAATGAAATCATTACCTATACAGCATAGCGACTAAATAAACAATGAGGTGAAGCAAAACTCCAACTACGACACCATAAGGAGGCAAGAGGGGTCCAGGGGTTCTCATGTCCGTGGGCCTGGCCCTGGGTGGACCCTGTGGGCTGACCATGAGCCCTGAGGAGGAGCAAGGAGAGCTCTAGCTCTAAGTCAGACAGCAATATTCTCCAACCTTTGCCAGAAAGGATCGTAGTCTTCATCTTCCCTGGAGTGGTCCCTGGGACTTCTGTTTTTTAACACCCTGGAGTAGAGAAACTGTGCTGCAAAATTCATTGTAATTCCCAGTGCAAAGGAAAGCTGGGAGACTGCGGGCTGGGGACACACTTGCCTGTGAGAAGTGCCAGCCCTGCAATGCCTGGGTGGGAAATACTGGGCGATGTGCTGTAAGCAGCTCTCCAAGCGCTGGTGGGGGGAGGAAAGTGCCTTTGAGAGAAATGGCTGCTGCTATTTAAAGAGATTATTTCAGAGGCCAACCTGTCCTTGTCAATTTGAGTCAGGGACTGGATTATGTTTGAATGACACTGTTAGCAGGACACTTGAAGCTTTAGTTACTTACTGCTTAGCTGTGGAGCATGATATAGACCTGCTGTAGGGGTTACAATTTAACGGCACTGACTTGGGTAGGCAGCAGCAGAAAGAAAGGGATGCCTTTTTTGTGGTGGCTGAGTCACCCGAAGATATCCTTCAAGGCATCACCAAGGGACATGGGTCTTCATGACTGAGGCACAGAGGAGACCAATTACTTCATCTAGGTCTTGGCACAAGTCCTTGTAGCAGAAAACCAGACATACCCAGATCATACAGCTAGAAAAGAAAAATATTATCTAGGGAAAAGACTGCAACAGATTAAAAAACCCCATCTAGATCTGTTGTTTATTGTCCTCAGAGAGTGTTAGCAAAGCCAGTGCCATTTTTCTAGATGGCAGAATGGCTGTGCAGTGGGGATAGGAGCAGGAGGTCCTTCTGTGGTTCCTCTCCTCCAGAATACAGCCCTGATGGAGTGCAGGTTCCAGGCTGTTCTGGGACTGACCAGGTGTCCCTTTCCAGGTATCAGTGGCCCCTCAGTACCCTCTGCTTTCTGCTGACAATGTATGAAATCCTAACCTCCAAGACACAGAACGGGCACACTGTAAAATCTAACCCAAGTGGTGACCTAACCCTCCTCACAGAGTACCGTGAGAAACACTATAATCTGCTTTACATGGGAGAGTCAGAATAAATGATCAAATAGTCTTCCGGGATCTCTAGGAAACTCTGAGCTATGCTAGTGGAGCCTTCCCCACACTGGCATGGCAGACAGGTCCATGTTTCCGTGACTACATCAGTACAGATGAAGACCAGATTTGCCATTTTTCCTGTCTATCCCACCCAAAACCTCTTTATCCTTCCCTTTCCAGACAGTGGATGTGCAGGTTATGGAGGTGGCACATGCTACACATGACCTCAACCCAGCAGCACACTGCTGCCAGAAGCAAAAAGACAAAAAGGCAGTTGGCTGCATAAGCACTCGCAGCTCATCCAGAGCAAAGTTCAGGACAAATTCACTGGTGCCTCCAAGCACAGAGAGAAGGCGGGTAGAGTTAGTACTTTGCTTATAACATGCCTGAAGTGCAACAGTGAGTAAGAAAGGGAACTTAATAGCAGTGAAAGTCACAATGACCAGCTTTCAGGTGTCTCGGAGTTCAGACCAATGCACTCAAGTCTTCACATAAAATCAGCTCCTCACATAATGAAGCCCTGATCTGTGATCAGAATTTGTAGACCACGCAAAACCAGTAAAAGTGGTTTTGGACCTCCTGACCAATCAGTTAGAAACAAATTCAACAAGTGGTTTCAGGACAGAAGTACATGAAACAGTGAGTTGCTGTCCTAAAACACTCACAAACAAGCAGCCCACTAGGGAAGACGGATATTTGGAAACTTCTGCTGTAGATTTACGCACATGTCAAACATTCCTTCAAAGCCCTTACCTAAGTGTGTGCTGGAAATGCTGACTGTGCGGTATCTTAGAAGGTACTGCATCACTGTTAATTGCTGTAAGTTAACTATGACCATTTTCTGAGCTGTTTATTTCATTAATGAGAGAGAAGTGGTTAAACAATTATTAGATGTATTTTCCTTTCATTCTTGCCCGCTAAACTTTATTGTCCTTACAAGTTTCTTGCATTTTGTCCATCACTTCGTGTATCCACCTTCACTATCTGTGCAGAGAGGATGGCTGTAGAGCAGTCCTGCTTTGTCCTTCTAGAGCAACTGGATTTTGTCACCTTTCACATGCAGTTTTTTAGTATCTGTGTGTTTTCTCTAAGACACCTCCCTGTTGTTACTTGAACCCTTTAAATAACTCAGTCACCTTCATCTAGGAAGTTTATTTGCTGTTCCTACTTCTTCCTAATATTGCTTCTCCAGGAAATTTCTATTTATTCCCTTTGTCTTTACTCATGCAATTATTAGCAGGAGTTGTCATATCTGCTGTTGCTGTCCAAAAACCAGAACTCTCCCAGCAGAATGCAATCTCCTGGGATAGGATGGGGTTGACTTTTCTGTGCCTTTTGCATTGATTTAATCTGAGCTATAGCCTATTTGGACACCCATTACCTAACTTCCAAATAACTCAAACTCTTCAAAAAAATGTTTTCTTACTTCTCTTAAACCATGACCTTGAATAATTTAATGTAGCCATTTCCAAACCTGTTCACAGTGCTTTGAAAAACACAACTAACTCAAGAAGGAGAAACTACCTTTTACCTTTGACTAAGTTACAGGACTCCAGATCACACTTCTTTTCAAATCTAGCGTTTCCTACCTCCTCACAGCTGCACTTTGGTGGGAAAGAAAGGGAAGAAAGCCAGTGCCTCAGTAGTGCTGTGTTGGAGAACCGCTTGCAGAGAGCAAGGCCATAGCTCCCTGCAGGAACTGGTCGCAGCCACCTGAGGTAAACAGAGGGAAAAACCCAGCGTACAGTGATGCTAACAAGGACTGTTATGATAACAAAGAGAGAAGTTGTGGCACATTATGGCCTTGAGGGTGACTAAAAAAAACAGCCCTGGGAAAGAAGCAGACCAGAAGAAGGAAGATGTTATGCATACCTGAAATGCCACAAGGGGCTGGGATATTATAATGTAGCTTTTTACATCTATCCAATAGATTTGTGAGTAGTATGCATGATTATTGTAGAGTGCTTATATAAGGTGTGATTTCTTTCAATAAAGTTGAAGCTTGCTCTATCATTCACATTGAATTGGCTGCTTGCTTCCTCCGCCCGCTGCAGTGCTGTATAGCTTTCTAAATGTTTTATTTACATCTTCCATACTGCTACCACTCACACTTTTTGTGTTTGTGCAAGGTAATCATAATTCACATCTGCACAGTTTTAGGCATACCTGAGACCTCAGTAAAACCATCTACTGTATAAATCTGAAATGGCAATTCTTGAGAAGTGTTTTTATGCACATCATCATATAATATTATCTTTTACTTAGATAATTTTGAGTCCAAAGTACTTCAATCAAGGGAAAGGATTGAAATTCAGTGCTCATGTGCTAGTGTGTAAGATCAAGGATGACGACAGGAAAGAAGTGGAAAATCCGTTTCAGAATAAGTTTTACATTCATCAGGTTGTACACGATTGCCTGCCTCCCTCCCTCCCTCAGTCCCTGGCACAAAAGCCATTAAAAGATAGCACAATGTGCAAAGTGGCAGCTGCTGCTTTTCCTAGTAAACCTTCAAAACAAGGCTACGCTGCTTTTTTCCCAAAATTAAAATAGGGCCATTTTGCTGTGAAAATGGAAAACAGTGCTTCATTCTCTTGTAACCAGAGAAAACTCAGTTTAGACAGTAATGGGAGAAATAGCTATTACCATTGTAAATAAAGACTTCATTGAAGTACAGGACTTGAAAGATGGTTTTGAAGGGTTAGCCAAGTTTTTACCCACACTAAATAAAATTAGTAACATTTCCAACCTCAGTGAGAACAGCATGGGTGGGAAGTGATAGTCTATCCAAAGCAGAGAATTCTATGCAGAACTTGATCAGCTGCAGAAGGAAAGAGGGTGGAGACAGTCTGCAGTTAAGCCAAGAAAAATAATAAAAGTTGTTCAGGAAGTAGCAACACAGGAAACCAAAACGGTAATTTAGAATTATGCAATGTATCAATGCAAATGTGGTGGTAAGCCACTATAATAATCAGCATGGATAAATAAATATAGACAATTCAAAAAGGATTGCCAATCTAAAAAAAAAAAAAAACCAAAACCAAAACACCCCAAAAAAAGAAGGAATAGACACCAAAATGCTTTACATTTCCTTCTAATTTAACATACTAATTTCACTTCCAACTCAGTATCTGCATAAATCAATATTTATAAAGCAGACCAGAGTTTCAGCCCCCACTGTTCCTATATCAGATATCAGCTGACCCATGGCAATGAAATGTCATGTTCTTGTTTGTTATCTTTAGGGATCTGAGAAAAGACCAATACAGTAGATTGAAATCAGTGGAAACCGATCTGGCTTCCTTGAGCTATATTTTGTAGTGGCTGAGAGAAAGGACAGGCATCAATTTGAGGAACATAACTGTGGCACAAGAGGCTAGAGGGAAGCCTTAGTGTGCTTTGTGTAAAGTTACTGTGTGGGACAGACAACATTTGTTTATCAGGTAAACATTTTGCAGAAAGGATTAGCTATTTCTCAAGACACAGAGCAAAACTTTACATTAGAGGTCCAAAAATTATCTTCTCAAAATAGGATTTATATCTGTCAGATCTCTAATTCTAAGATGCTGAACCAATACATGTCAACAGCTGAGAAAAAAACGGGAACTGCATCACAAAGCTCGTGCTTTGCTGTTACAAAAAAATGTACACTCTACTATTGAGACTAAATAACTTACAGGAACCAGTAAAACATTTTGCATTGCGATTTGGGATATTTAGCTCAGTTGGACTAAATAACCTTTAAAGGTCCTTTCCAATCCAAGCTATTCTATGATTTTATTTCCTGTTTATCTGAATTTCAAGTTGCAGGATAAAATTATTAATCATGCTGAGGCAGTAAATTAGCATTGTAGATGGATGAAAATATAAAATAATCGATTCAAATACACCTGAAAAAATTATATTAATTAGCAAAGACTGCATCTAGATATCTCTCGGTAACATGATATGCCTTATGTTATCACTGACTGTAAACGGCTTTTTGCCATTCTAGGTCTAAAGCATTGGTCACACGGCTGTGTTCACATTAAAAGGAAAGGTGCACTGTCTGAAGCCCATACAGTGAATCCCTGAAGAGATGTATTAGTTTGTCTGTGCACAGCACAGCAACTGTGATTGACAGCTTCACCTTCTGCTATTTCAGGCAGCATTAGAACATCCCAGAGGCACCATATAATTTCAAAGTACTAATGTAATCATTACCTTTATT